CAACTGGTCAAACTACCAACTAGAGAGAACCGAATACTTGACATGATATTCACTGACTGTGGAGATTTCTACAAAAAGCCTCTAATAACAGCACCTATTGGAAGTTCTGATCATTCCACAGTTCTGATGATCCCGAGGACCTCCTGCCCTATACCTACGACAAGGTGTAGTTATCGACCTATGCGTGATTCCTGTGTACGATCCTTTGGTCGCTGGATCACCTCGTATGACTTTCGTTACTTGGATGGCATGGAGTCTCCGGACGATATGGTACAATCTATCCAGAGTGTACTAGGGCAAGCTTATCGGCAACATTTTCCGCTGGTTGTTCGTCGCCGTTCACCTAATGACAAGCCCTGGATCACGGACAGGTTGAAATCCCTCATCCGTAAGAGACAACGTGCGTTTGAGTTAGCTGACAGAACAACCTTCATGAAACTTCGGAACCAGATTCAGCGCAAGATAAAGCAGCGGAAGTCGGTTTTCTACCAGAAGAAGATTGCAGCCATGAAAAAATCAAGCCCTGGCAAATGGCACCGACAACTCCGCTCCCTCGCTGGCCTGAATAAACGGTCTTCCTTCAATTTTCCGAACGACTTTGGCACAAGCCCTTCTGAGCAGGCAAAACACATCAATGACTTCTTTGCGAATATTTGCCGTGAATTGCCTGCCTTGGATATTTCGTCTTGTCCAGCCTTTCTACCTGCCAGAAGGCCACCTCCTAGAATTCAGAGATTCAAGATCTTTGAGATGCTGAAAAAACTGAATCCCTCTAAGGCTGTCCACCCTGAGGACATCCCTATACAACTGATAAGAGAATTTGCCTTCGAACTTTCCGCTCCTTTGTCAGTCATCTTTAATGTCGTTCTAGATCGAGGTTCCTTTCCGCCTCGTTGGAAGCGCTCTGTCATAACACCGATACCAAAGTCCTATCCAGTGACCTGCTGTTCTGACTTGAGACCTATTTCAATTACACCAATACTGGCGCGTGTGTTTGAAGGTTTTCTTTCGCAGTTCCTAATTAGAGACTTAACACCTCACCTGGATCCGCGTCAGTTCGGCAACATAAGGGGAAGTTCAACCACTCACTACTTGGTGAGCCTCATGGACACCATCCTCCGTGGCTTGGACAAGCCTAGGAAATTTGCTACACTCTGCACGATAGATTTTTCAAAGGCCTTTGACCGCGTCAATCATAATGTTGTGATACACAAACTCATCAAGTATGGTATTGATGAAGCAATCTTATCAACTGTAATTAGCTTCTTGAGTGATCGAACCCAGGCAGTCAGAATCGGTCCATGTATCTCCGAAGAATTATCGCTGACCTGCGGAGTGCCTCAAGGGACCAAGCTGGGTCCTTTGATATTTCTAACGCTGGTAAACGACGCTCTGATGGATTTCGATCAACGGTGGAAATATGTGGACGATTTGAGCATTCTTGAGGTCCGCTCCACTTCTGGCGTCTCGACGTTAGCGGATCATCTCGACAAGCTGACATGTTGGAGTAAGGAAAATGACATGAAATTCAACGTTCAGAAAAGTAAGACCATGTCAATTGACTTCTCCAAAAACAGAGCGAATCCTCCGAGCTTACATCTGAATAATCAACCGATGGAGGACACGAATTGCCTGAAGCTGCTTGGCGTTCTTATACAGGCGAATCTCAAATGGGATAGCCATATCTCCGACGTGGTTTCAAGAGCTGGAAGGAGAATATTCATGATTTGTCGTCTGCGGAAAGCGTCAGTCCCGATGCACGACCTAGTGAATATATATTCCACATATATTCGTCCGTTATTAGAATACGCATCTCCATTGTGGTCTACAAGCATAACAACAAATCAAATCAATGATATTGAGAGGATCCAAAAGCGTATATGTCGCATCATCCTGAGGGATCAGTACATCTCCTATGAACACGCTTTGGAAACACTTGGCATCAGTCGTATGTCCGAGCGACATGAGCAGTTGCTGCTCTCCTTTGCCAAGAGCCTGTTGGCTTCTTCCAGGCATCGAGACTTCCTTCCGCCCCTACGCAGCGAAATATCCTCCCGGCGTCTACGTTACTCGCACCACTTGGATACCCCCATGTGTAGGACTGCTCGGTACCGCTCGTCAACAATGCCCTCTGCAATAAGACTGCTTAACGAGAATCTATAAATCGTTTCATTATTTTATTAATTCATTAGTGTTCCTTTTTTTTTAAAACTTCAATTGTATGCCCTTGCTAAATATTAATGTGCTTTTTATCTATAATATAATGTGCAATATCTTATACGAAATTATGTAATATTGTTATTCAAATATCAATTTTTTCTTGTTTCAGATGAATGATGTCATTACAATTAACAATAGCAATTGTTAAATACACTCTGTACTATATTTTTTTAGACAAATAACTTTCTTATACTCATGCATATTAATAGATGTTTGGTTTTAAACAAACCGGTATAATAACACGTTTGCAATATACACTTTTATCCAATTTACTCTCAGACTGCCTAAAACTGTAAACATATTTTAATCCGTTGTTTCATTAGGCCTTTAGTGTTCCCTTCTTTTATATATTCTTTTTAATACAAATTCATGCCCTTGCCAATTATTTGACTTGGGTCTTTTTTTCCAAAGTAATGTGCAATATCTAATTCGAAATTACACTATATTGTGATATTGTTATGTAAATACTAATTTTAATTTTATTTGAACAACTTTCTCGATCTAGATGAATGCTGTCATTACATTTATATTGAAGGGGAAAACGGAATAGAGACTGTCATTTTGACTTTTACGGTTTAATTTCATCCCATCCAATAGGTTTTTTTTTAATGCTTAATTTCATTTTTTGTAATAGAAATGTTTGTTTAGCAATTGTTAAATACTTTCTCAACTCTTTCGGTCAAACAACTTCCTTTTTTCTTCTCCATTCTCTCCTCCCCACCGTCTTGGTTCTTCAACATGAAAGTATATTATTACATTACTCTATAACTTTGTTTTGCGATTTCGATTTCATCTTACAATGACTTACAATATGTATTTTAGTTTTGTATATGTTTATATCTCTCTATATTTTTAACTTGTTTGTAAATTGAACATTTTCAGCCTGCGAGCTGCTTGTTTGATGTGATTTCTCAATAAACCAAACCAATTCAATTCAATTCAATTAAAAAAAAAAACCCTTCCCCCGTCAGAGGATCCTGGATCCGCAACTGTAAGTAACAAAAGTATTCTGAATTGTATTAGGTTTTCATTGTGTTCTCCTCAAGTTGTTTACAAATGTAAACCTATCCTTCTAAACCGCAGAATTCTCCGCTGACATTGGGACTTATGCCCTGTCGTGTACTGCTTCCATGCGTCAGCTGCATCAATAAATGGTTTCATTTTCTGTTTATAGTTGCATTATTTGTATGGTTTCGGTATTAAAAATTAATAGTCCTGGAAGAGTAAATCATGCTGGCAATCATCAGGATTAGCCTTCAGTTTTATGACAAACAGGCCTTAGGTAATTCTTTGCATTTCCTCCGATCGTCCATTCCATTTCCCTCAACCGAAGACTCTCCGAGAGACTAGGGGGTATTTTCTTGATGGAACCACGGGTTTGCTGTGTGCTAGACTTGGACGGTCACCCATTAATAGTATTTCCTCCAAGTCTGGTGTCAGCGAATTATGACTTAATGCACATAGAAATGGACTACCATGCATCTCCCTTTAACAGTTATATGCTTAGTTTTATATCTCTGTTTAAATTACTTCACCAGACCGATGGCCCACGAGACCAACATTTTCCCACCTACCATAAATATTTGTCTTTGTTTTGTCTGACTCATGGGCTTTCGGTCTCGTAGACCATTTTTAAAAGTCGGTCTTGTGGCCGGGTCGTCGGTCTCCGTGCTGGGCTGTCGGCCTTCTTGGGTGACCTCTATTGGCACCTTTTCTGTTCTGGGGCCATTTCAGAAACCAACATGGCGGCTTTGTGCTTCGCGGAAATTGCTATATATATTCCTAGATAATCTACCAATTTTAAAGATCGATTTTAAAATGTTGATAATTCTTCTGCGTGGAGCCAGAAGGGCGTTAACTCTTTTACCTTAACACATATAGTGCCCTTCTTGATCCAAACAGGTGATTATTGTCTTACATCCATCAATTAAATTAAGTGGGACTTTGTCACAATCATTCAAGGAGAATGATAACAATCCATGTTTCTAAAGCATCTCATCCCGTTAACAGTCCATGTCCTTGCTTTGTTTTCCTTGTCTCGCTCGCTATGATTTTTTTGCTTAAGTTACTGATATTCACTTCTTATTTTCATCTATTTCAGGCTCTAAATACATTGGATTATCAACAGAAGTGAACGAATCTACACCTACATCAATCCATGACTGCATTCTTCAGTCATGCATGGTGAAACCAGGAAGCTCTATCATTAGAAACCCTGTGATGTAACATTACGTCGATTTGACCATTGCTTGGTCAAGTGTCGAATTCTACTCTCACATCGAGTTTGTAGCTCGTGAAACCGGTGGATCATTTGACAGCGATTACCACTCCTTCTGACAGCGAAAGGGCAAACAATTAAGTCGGTTTGCACGATTTATCATAAGATCCGTCAGACGCTATAGCTTGCCTGCTGGAAGATAACTCCTTATGCGGGTTAAACTTTTATCTTTACAACGTTCGTCTTCAAGAAGGTAGCAGAAAAGAATTCTTGCATTCGACAAGTGAATGTTGCCGTAACTTGAAATGATACATATTTCTCAAAGTATTCTGGAAGATCAATAAATTTTGACAAGAAAAATTGCAATTATGTTCATAACATTTTAAAGAGTACGCCGTAATCGGATTCAGGAAATTCTTCTTCGTGACAACCACGCCCTCGATCGAAGAATAGTTGACTTTGGACTAAACAATTCCAAGAAGTTAAGTGATCCGTTGTGCTTTATTGGATGAAACAGTACGACTGTTAACTTCACACCGACGTGAAAACAAGCGGTTTTTAACTTTAAAATAATTCATCGCAATTTGAAACTTTATTCAGGCATCCGTTTTGTTTGTGACCCCACAGCAATCCAACAACAACGCTCGGTAAACATTCTACCTTTTAAAGTATCCTATAAACTGTTGGCTTGATTAAATTCAAAATGGCGGAAGAACCGTCGGTACAAGATGTCGTTTACTCTGAGTATGTGGATACGAACTTGACAACGGGCGACAACTCGTCGACGGGATCGCGAGGTTGTTCTGTCGACGTCAGCTCGGCAAGGGAAGAGATGGAGGGTAGGTTAACTCATGCTTATCAAATGCTTCTATTGCTCAATTAATTCATTTATCATTAAAGTATTTATTTCGGTCCATCCAAAAATTGATAAACAGGGGTGAAATATCAGGCGCGTACGCAGGGGGGGGGGGGGGTTAGGGGTTGAACCCCCCCCCTTTGACTTTTTTATGTGTATGTTTTGGACGAACCCCCCCCCCCCCTTTGCAAAAAAAAATATATATATATTATGTTAATGGATGACCCAAAAAGCTGGTCTTACCCCCCCCCCCCCCCCCCCAACGAATCTAAATATCGATCTGCAAAATTTTCAAATTTTGGGACAAAATAATAAATAAATATGTCCTCTTACCCCGCCCTCCCCGCTTCTTCAGCGGCTGGCTGAGACGTTGCGATTTTTTTTTAGACCAAATGGTCAGATTTCTCTTCAATCCGATCTTAACTCCAATATGGTAGGTATTTGTTGCATAGTTTAAGGTTTTCTATTCATTATTGCAAGCAAAGAAACTTCGAGTGTACAAAAACATTTGTTTGTTCTTTTACAGAGAAATAGGCCTTTCGTTACTGCGATTGTCGAAAATAGTGTAGCTCATGACTTTACGACGAGATGCCACCAGCAACGATTTTTTTCTAGTCCTGCTTTTTTTTTTGTGTAAATGAGTGCTTCTACCAAATACCATATAAGAATGATAAACAGCACGAGAAATTTAGAACTCAATGGTTCGCGTTTCATTGAGTAGTATAGATTTGTATGATAGCTTGTTTCGTTTCATCGTGTTATTTATGTTTATTTTGTGATTTATAGGGATTTGTATCTTTATCATACACCTTTCGTACTGGTACTGACAGTAACTATACTTTTTATTATTATTAATATTATTTATTTGGCACTTTCAATACATGTCAAATCAGAATATATAATGGGTGAACAAAATATGGCAATAATTTCATAGACACTGGTGCACCCGACCAGGCAGTATACATGGGAAGGATTAGGCCAACTAAATAACCATGAGCCACAAGCCTTCCCTCCCACAACCGATCGACTGCACATGTAATTTGTGTGTTTTATTGTGTCTTTATTTTGTCTATAATGATTTGATTAGTAAATATATGATAATAATATTCGTTTGTTGTATAGCGCATATATACAGCGTCGTCTCTATACGCATCCAAAGAGCTTTGGAATTGTAATTGATATCTTGCCAAAGACATTAGTGCCGTGGCGGGACTCGAACCGCGGACCTTTTGATCCACAGCCCGTTGATATATCCACTCGGCCTCGACACTTCTACTAATCATGTCACCATGTTGACCTTATACATGGTTACAGAAATTAATCAGTCGAAATTAAATAAAACTAATTATTTTGAATCTTTTTCTACTCGATATATCCAGTGTTGAGATCAGTAGGATGGGGTATAGCCTTACTCGTCACCCTGACTGCGCTATCCTGTGCTACAGTCGGCATGTTCTTACATTCGTGGGTTCGGATCAGGCGACAGGTCCCTTACGGAAATCGGAGGATATTTCTTGTTCGCCTGTTTGCGCTCTTCCCGGTAAGACACGAAGTTTAGTTCTGTAGATCTAATTAAATCAAAGACTAGGTCAATTTTTTTTTCTTTCGGGAACCATGATGCCTGAATTTGAAGACGGTTTTCTGAATATTGTTATTTACACATTTTCGGGGGGGGGGGCGGGGGGGGGGGGGCGGGTGGTAGCGCCTCCTCCTTGCACAGCTCTCCCCAATTCTTAAATTTAAATTTCATATGCTTAATATGTAATGGTACATGGCTTGTGTCCTGCTCTGTTTTTAGATGTGCAGCTTTTCCCGCGTCAAATGTGATATTAGACTTCAACTTAAAGTACGTGATCTATTGAATAAATTGGTATAGTCTTGAGAGTGTTAAATCTGCCACAATCTGAACCACATAACAAGTTCAAAGTTCTAGCTTAATCATTATCGAAAATCGCGATTATAACCACATCATAATAGCTTGATTTATAGTTTATACTTACTTTATCAACGGCGCAAATTTATCCTTATCTTTCCGAAAATTGATTAATGCATTGACACCAAACACACAGGTCATAGGTTAATTTGTTCATGGTAATTTCAAATAAATAAGCCCATGTCTTTCATTTTTCTTTCTTGTACATATTATTGTACTGATTATCGTAAATGAAAGGAGAGCATATCATGTTCATATATTAGATAGAGGACGAAGATATTCTTAGAACGTAGTGATTATGACTCCAGTGGCGAAGCTATGGGGGGGGGGCATCGAAGGAGTAAGTGCCCCCTAATCGGATTGCTAAAAGGGGATGAAGGACAAAAAACAAAGGGAGGGGGAAAGGGAAGGTAAAAAGAAGATGAAAGACCCCTCTACACCCCTCCTCTCCCTATTCGGTCGCTCCATCGCAGAACAACCCATGTACCCTCTAAGATCAGCCCCCCCCCCCCCTCTCTCCCTACATACGAATAGTGCCCACTAGTGACTGGAACCACGTTACACAACTGTCGCTCATAAAATAAGGGCATATAATCAACAACTCCTTAGAAATTGCGAGTAGTACAAGAAGTGTGGCTCCCATCATGCCAAAGTATGATTGAACCCCCCCCCCCCCCACCGATTATTTTATCTTTTCTATTCCCCGTAATAGAACGTTATCAACTTACTTGGAAATGAGTTATTAAAAATGTCGCGTGATATTTATCATGTCAAAGAGACAGATAATTGAACACTATTATAAAAAGTGGCATAAAAATTCTGCAGGTGCAATTCTCGATTCATCGCATTCTTCAATATTCAGGACAGATAGTTAAAACCAAACAATTTACCACTGCAAAGGGCTTGTCATATTTGTTGTATTTCATTGTAAACTGAATGCAATTCATCGTATTGGCTGACATTTTCAGTATTATAATAAGCCATTCAATCAATCAATTAATCCACATATCATTTAAACTGAGCTATGATACTTATTACCAGGATTCAATATCAGAATCCTTTCTTTAAAAAAAAGTATATCTTGTTCCTCATTTTGATTTCCCCCTTTTTGTTTGAAGGTCTTTTCAGTTACTTCTTTAGCTGGCTTCTATGTCCCCAGAGCATCGCTTATAGCAAACTGGGGATCTAGTTTGTAAGTATCGGTTTTGAGTAATTTCTTTTTAATCTCAAAACATTATGCCGGGGTGGGGGGGGGGGCTGGCACGTCCCCCAACCTAGTTTGTTTTAGTGATATGCCCCTGTGAAGTTTGATGAAACTGTTTGTATATTGTTGTTTTTTCATTTTGTTCACAATGTCCTATATAATTGACGAATCCCCCCACCCCCCCCCCCCCCGCCCCCACGCATGCAAGTCCTGGAAATCCACACTGGTTCAGCCACTGGTTGCGAAAGTGTACTTTACCCTCAATACATAAAGATATGGTTGCGATCTTTCGAATTCACAAATTGTTGATGAATTGATGTTAATTTTATTTGGCAACGGTATTCCTATATTAATAGTATTCTAATGACTCATGAAAATGCAATGTAAAATTTCCAAAGTATTTTTTGGAAATCTCATTTCCTTATTCTAAAACATTCATTAATATGTGCAAATGTTTAGACGATGACACCCCTCCCGCCCCCCCCCCCCAAAAAAAAATTCTTTCAGCAATATCCTCACAAGAACTCAGATTGTAAAAAAAGAGAACCTACAATGGTGTTGATGATGATGATGATGATGAAGAAGATAATATTAATAATAATAATAATTATGATGATAATAATGATAATAAAAATAATAATGATAATAATTTTATAAATAATTATGATGATAATAATAACAGTTATGATAAAAATGATGATGAAGATAAAAATGAAAAAAATACTAATATACTACTACATAATAATGATATCAATGATGATGATGATATTAATACAACTGCTTCTGCTGCTACTACTACTTTTACTACTACTACTACTACACTACTACTCAGACGCGTACGCAGCGGTTTTTTTTTTTGGGGGGGGGGGTTGAACCCCCCTCAATTTTGTTTATGTGTGTGATTTTTTTATGACACCCCCCCCCCCTATATTAAAAAAAAAGGGAATTATACCAAAGGGTGACCCCAAAAAAGTGACCTTACCCCGCCCCCTGAGTCGTTGCAAAATTTTTGGGACAAAAAAAAAGTGCTCTTACCCCCCCCCCCCCGCTTATTCAGCGGCTGGTGAGGCGTTGCAAAATTGTCGGCCCTGCTACTACTACTTCTACTACTACTACTACTACTACCACTAATACTAATACTAAGAATAATACTAATAATAATAATGATGATGATGATAATAATAATAACAACTGTTACAATTACAACAACAACAGCAACTACCACTACTACTACTACTACTACTACTACCACTTCTACTATACTACTACTGATGATGATGATGATGATGATGATGATGATGATGATAATGATAACTATAACATTGATAACAATGATAACTATAAGATTGTGTAGCTTTAAAAAAAATTATCTTGTGTAATCAGCTATATAATATTCTTGTTGTTAATTCTATTGGTTATATTATGTATGTATATTCATATATGTTTTGTAAAGTCGAAAGCAATATTGAATAAAGATGATTTTATTAAAGAGAAAACAAAAACTATAACGATCCAATCTTTTGATAGGTACCTGTCGATGACTCTTTACACGTTCGTTCTCCTGATCGTGGACTACTATGGTGGCATCGGACCTATGGAGGACCATCTCGATGGGATCAAGGTCTCCCTCTCTGCCCCGCCCCTAACATGCTGCTGCCCGTGCTTGCCAAAGATCAGTTTCACCATGTAGGTTAAATTTTCATGTACTATTTGGAGTTGGATTGTATCGTTATGAATAAGCAAGTACATAGTTGTTATATTTCCGATATGTTAAGCCATTTTGATTTGATCAATTTCATTTATCCTAAAAGTCGCTTGAATCAGAGTTTTTCGAACGTTTCATAGCCTTAAATATGAATTTGGAAATATTTGTAGTCACGTCTGTTTCGCCACAATGCAAATGAGGGAAATACTTACTTATCCATTTTTTTTTTATCTGTGAAGCTATCTGCATAATGTACCACGGGCTATTAGTGTAATAATCTCCCATGATTATAATCCATGCACTTGCAATGTCGTAATTTTGGCAGCATGGTTGAAAATCAGTCAAAGTTTGAAGCCTCAACTGAAGCAACATCTTTATGATACTTGAATCCTCGAATACCCGACCTCCCGCTTGGTCCCCTATGTGAGGTGTCGTGGTGTCGTGGTTCATTCACTTGACTCTCAATCCATAGATTGAGGGTTCGAATCCCAGCCCTGCACTAATTTCCTTCATTATTATTATTCAAATTGAATTCAAACGCATGACCGTGTACTAGCCCTTTTAATATTTTCGTACTTTTTTGGATTTCTTGTTATTCCCGATTTATAATTTTCTACGTGGCTTTTGGCTTTTTACATCTGATGAGTCTGAACATCTATAAAGTATGCATTCCTCATGCAAATATTCTTCCCATCAAAATAACAGTCTAGTTCCTAAAGTGATAATAGGGACTTTTAGATTTACACGACGAGAACGTGGACTGCCACGTGTGACATTCTTTTAAGGTATTATGTGACGTCTTTTTAAGGCACTGCCGGGCACGACCCAGTGCCTTAACACAATGTCACACGCGGCAGTCCACGCTCTCGTCGTGTAAATCTAAAAGTCCCTAATGTTTGTGATACCATGTAATTCATGAATTCGGGGTTCGAATCCCATATACAGGACGAACTTCCATCGAATGAGAAGACTAGTCTTACAGACCGCTTACATCAGGCCACTTTGCGTGTTTCTTGGTGCTGTGTTGTGGGCCGACGGTATCTACAAACCATCAATAGTACGTGAAATCGTGAAGACTTTCAAGAAATCCACTTAAGGGCATTTCCAATACCAGATTGTATTGCAATGTGTTCATACCATGTCATTTTCATGCATGTTCATACAGTTCAATCGTTGACTCCTAAGAGTATTGAAATGTCCTTAGGTTGAGTTTTTTTAAACTAACTTTTTGCGATTATGTTGGGGACAATTATTATTATTATTATTTCAGTTATTATTTTGTTTTGATGTGTCGCTTGAAAACAAGTGTGTGTGTAACGAGATAAACACCCCCATTCATAGTTTTCTACATGCTGACTCTTTATAAAGACTGTCGACAAAACTAGAAACGAAAATACTTTGATTAAAAAAGTAAGACGTATCGGCAACATTTCATGATTAAAATATACGTCTGTCGGCAAATTTGAGATAAATAATAATAATAATAATAATAATAATATTCCGCTTTTATATAGCGCTTAATACATCTACGATGTCTCTAAGCGCTTCACAGATAATTATTCTGAGGATTTTTTTTTCTTTCTGGGAGGAATTTCTAGCCTATTTGTTCCTAAACCATTCCACCATACAAAATGGTATACATTTAAATGACGTCACAGGATGATACAAACTAGGTGTCATGGAGGTAGAGATGTAATTCTGTATATGCACCTCTCTCTCTCTCTCTCTCTCTCTCTCTCTCTCTCTCCCTCTCTTTCTCCATGTCTCTCCAATTCTCTTTCCCCCTCACCCTCTCTCTCTCTCTCTCTCTCTCTCTCCCTCCCTCCCTCCCTCTCTCTCCCGCTCCCTCTCTCTCCCTCTCTCTCTCCATGTCTCTCCAATTCTCTTTCCTCCTCGCCTCTCTCTCTCGCCTCTCTCTCTCTCTCTCTCCCCCCTCTCTCTCCCTCCCCCCCCCCCACTCCATCCAGATTGAAGCCGACTCAGCCTTCGTCTACCTGAGCGTCATCACTCTCGCATCGTCCCTGGTCGCTGTCTACGGCCTCTCCGTCATCTACAACGCCACCCACAACCAGCTCCAGCACTTCATGATCTCCATCAAGTTTGCCACCATCAAGTGCGTGCTCATCATCACCAACGGGCAGAACCTCATCATCGCCATCCTCATCGCCAAGGATGTCATCCCGTGCGTCGGACCCCTCGACTCGGCCGTCAGGGGAGAGTGTGAGACTAAGATTCGTTTTTTTTCTCTGTATAAACATGACAATCGAAGGGTTTTATTTAGTTCCCCGGCTGCCTTACCCAGGGGCGGATCCAGCCGGCGGCAGGGGAGGGGGCCAAAGATGGGGCCCAATTCGTGAGAAAATATCTAGCGGCGAAACAGCCAGCCGGTGAATAAGCGGCCCCGGGCCCCCTCTCTGGAACCGCCACTAGCCTTACCCCCACCGTGTTGGGATCGGATTTTGTTTGGTTGAGGGGGCGGCGGGGAATTATTAGAATAATGGGAGGGGGCAGTACTGGTCTTACTAGGTCTGTGAAATGAAAAAAATAACATCGAGTAAGAGGAATGTGAAGGGAGTTGTATTATCTTTCTTCTTTTTTTTTTTACCTTGTCTCCTCTGCCCACCCCATTTCGTCCTTTATCTTTCTTTTTGTAGCCCACTTCCAATCATATTCCAATACTCTCTCCTTCTATGTAGTCCTCTCTATATATTCATCTTCCTAAACCACTTTCAAACGACTTTCATTTTCTCTCCTCCTACGCAGTCCTCTACAACATGCTCGTCATCTTCGAGATGTTTCTCCTGAACTTCTTCTTCAAACTCTACTACTGGCGATGGATGGTCAAGCACGAGTACGGCCACCGCTTCGTATCGGCCTCGGTCGCCGACATCACCGACATCAAGAACTTCGAAGCAAACGCACCCATGAACGTCACGCGCGAGCGCATCAACGACTTGCAAGAGGAGGCGAGCGTCGACGGGTCATTGTCGAATGTCTCGAAGTCGGGCTCGTTTAAGAGTGAGACGGTCGTATGATGTCGGTGAATCTATCGTCTCAGAGTAGGGACTACTACCGGTAGCTGTGTCGTGTTCGGCCGGGATCGTTTCAACAATGGCATTGAATGTCACTGAAGAAAATGAACGATAATGTTTGCTCGGTTGAAACAATTGGTTTGCAGACACAGACTCTAATTTGACACTTTATCACAATTCCTAACGCCTTGACCAGAGCCTAGTCCTATCAGTCTCTGGCTGGGTCCGGAGCAGCTAAAGCACAGAGCCTATGCAGTATGCCGTCAGCCTAGTCTCAAAGAGCAGACATTGTTACGCCCGGGGACTGGCAAGGGATTGTGCCTGCAAACTAAAAGTCCATTACAAAAGTTACGACATTTTTACAGATATTACATTCGCTTACCCAACTTGGTAAAAGTTTTTTGCCACGATCGCCGTTTACTTCAAAATTGAAAAGTTGGGCATATAATTACACCAACGGGTCGGATACACCCCCTTCCCCCATATTTGTCAAGTTTTACTGGACATAATGTTTAACAGTGTACATGAAAGAGAAGGAAAAGCAAGCGTATTCACATATTCTTTTATTTTTTGTAATTATTTTTTTTTAAATTTATGTTTCATGAAGAGGGTTGTATGAAATGTCATAATCGTGAGTTGTGATTCTTTCTTTTTATAATTCATTAAAAAAAAAAATCCTTATTGGGTTGTAATGGTTTGATAATGATTCTCTGATGATTTGATAAACATAGGCCTATATTGCTATGTACTCTTCTTCTTAGAACTGAAAATGTGGCACTAATTTAACTCATCATTCTTTTTCATTAACCATATTCACACATCAGTTGATTTTGTCTCTCGGAGAGCAACGGTGAATTGATTTTGTGCATGACATCGATAATTGAATATGAAGTAGTCTTTGTTTTTTGTTCTTTTTTAAAATGTCTTATCCCCCTCTATCTCTTGCTTTGTTTCATTCTATGTTATACTATAAGACTCTGTCTACCTTACCTCCTCCTTTTCTCCTTTGTTTCCCCTTCTTTACTTCTCTCCCATATTAAAATTGTTGCGTTGATAGGAGATTTGGTTTTGTATTAATAACAAAAAATGATGATATCAATCTGTTTATGAAGTTGCTAAATAATTTCTCAAGTCGTGGTTTGTTTTGTAATTGCATTGAAAACACAATTTGATAAAAAAAGGAAATGCGCGCATTTATCAACTTTATCATGCGATTTTTTCTACAGTGTCAATGAAAAGGTTACATATATATATAAATACCATGAACCATTTGCTAGCCTTTTTTTTTTAATTTGAAATATATTATACTAATGAAAAATGCTGCAAATGTTAATATGGAAATATTGTTATTTGTAGAATTTTAGATTGTGACAACTACGCTTACTTTAATTATTCGCTCCCAGTAATGTTCATATTTTTCGCCAGCTTTAACAATGTCGATGATAATAAATTCATCATATTGTTATTAGCTCAAAAGATTCCAAGTCTGTACTCCAAAAATCAGTAAACATGTTTGATATATTGATGGTACTTCCATTGTGACATGCCAGGTTTGCATATTGTTGTAAAGAAATTTTGTGCTCGATCTTGTAATTGCAAACAGGTCAGAAAAAAAATTTGTGGTACAAGCGGGATTTGAACCTGCCATCTATACTTCTTGCCGAGCACCGAATCTACCACCAGGCCATCACTTAATTATCCGATCGAGCTCGCATCTTTTTCTATTCCAGGAAGCCTAACATTCAAATATTCACATATTCATGTAGGCCCCCTATGTATAATAAGTTTTATAGAACCTGAATAAATAATTCGTTTAACTGATTGTAAACAACAACAAAAAATCGTTTGAAATTGTCATTTGTGTATAGTTCGATTCTATCTTAATATTTCGATAAATGAATTATAATGCTTTGAATAAATATTTTGAGGGAAAGTAAGGGGAAATAGGGTGAATAGGGGGAGACAGGAGGGGACAGATCCGCTTGAATAAGAGACAGTGAAGGGGGGGGGGGTAGAAAGAGAGATAAGTGAGATAGATGCAGGGACCGCGCGGAGGCCGAACAGACTTGGCTCGGAGGCTCGCGCTCAGCTCTGTAAGAAGTAGGTGAGTGAGAGGGAGGCAGTGGCGGATCCAGGGGGGGGGGGGGCCGGGCCGGAAAATGTGTAAAAACACGTTAATTTTACTTTCTTTTTTAGATTCCCCCTCCCTGGCGCTCAAGGGGGAGGGGGGAGGGTGCGATTTCTCAAATTTTCGAGGGCCAAAAAGAAAATGTGCTCACTACCCCCCCCCCCCCCCCCCGACTGAGCGAATTTTCGGCCGGCACGATTTTTAAATTTTCGGGGGCAAAAAAAAGCTCAATATATTAATTTAGCTATGAAACAATGTTTCTTGATTAAAATCGACCGATTAGCTATTCCCATTTGGAAATTATATATCACAACTACATATTCTGAGATTGTCATGGTCGCAGCTACCATTGTACGGCCATAGGCGCTATTTGAAATTTATCAAAATTTACCGGGAGCACCGGTAAATTTTTATATTCATTTTTTCTCGAAAACAGAAGTGTTTTAGGAGCTAATTTTTTTAGTGCTTATAATACATCCACAGGGGCATCCAAATATATCAAAATTGTAAAGATTCACTATCCACCCAATTTTCAAAATTTCCCAAAACTTTGTATTACCTTTAATGTATTAGGTTTTCATTGTGTTCTCCTCAAGTTGTTTACAAATGTAAACCTATCTTTCTAAGCAGCAGAATTCTCCGCTGACAATTGGGCTTCTGTCTATTCTTGTACGACTTGCATGCGTCAGCTGCATCAAATATATTGTTTCCTTTTTTGTTTATTGTTGCAATATTTTTGTGTGGTTTCGGTATTAAAAATAGTCCTGGTAGAGTAAATCATGCTGGCAATCATCAGGATTAGCCTTCAGTTTACGACAAACAGGCCTTAGGGAATTCTTTGCATTTTCCTCCAATCGTCCATTACATTTCCCTCAACCGAAGACCCTCCGAAAGACTATAGGGGGCATTGTCCTGATGGGACCACGGGTTTGCTGTGTGCGAGACTTGTTGGACACCCATCAATAGTATTTCCTCCAAGTCTAGTGTCAGCGAATTATGACTTAATGCACATGAAACGGACTACCATGCATCTCCCTTTAACAGTTACTACCTATTATATGCTTAGTTTTATATATCTGTTTAAATTACTTCACTATACCGATGGACCACGAGACCAACATTTTCCCACCTACTATAAATATTTGTCTTTGTTTCGTCTGTCTCATAGGCTTTCGGTCTCGTAGACCATTTTTAAAAGTCGGTCTTGTGGCCGGGCCGTCGGTCTCTTGGGCTGTCATTCGCTCTTCTGGGGTGACCTAGCCTTTAAACAAGGCCACTTGTCTGATAGACGCCGAGCGATTAAATCGAGACTAATCGCGAAAACCCGAGTGAACGAGAGAGCTAGAAGCCCTTCGTGACATTCGTCACTCGGTCGCGCGTTCACTCCGGGTATCTAGACTCATCTCAGCTGCTTAGCCAGAGTCACGAGGCCTTATCAAAAGGCTAGGGGTGACCCCGTTGGTACCTTTTCTGTTCTGGGGCTACTTTACAAATCAAAATGGCGGTGGATACGTCTCCTTTTGAATTGAGAATATTTCTATATAGGCCTAGATAATCCACTAATTTTAAAGATCTATTTTAAAATGTTCATAATTCTTCTGCGTGGAGCCAGAAGGGCGTTAACTCATTTACCTTAACACATAGTGAGAGGGGGGCAGTGGCGGATCCAGGGGGGGGGGGGGTCCGGGCCGGAAAATGTGTAAAGACACGTTAATTTTACTTTCTTTTTTAGATTCCCCCTCCCTGGCGCTCAAGGGGGAGGGGGGAGGGTGCGATTTCTCAAATTTTCGAGGGCCAAAAAGAAAATGTGCTCACTACCCCCCCCCCCCCCCCCCGACTGAGCGAATTTTCGGCCGGCGCGATTTTTAAATTTTCGGGGGCAAAAAAAAATAATGGGCCCCCCTAGGAAATCCTGGATCCGCGCCTGGGGGGGGGGGGGCTCCAGTGGGCCTCGATGGGTTACAGTTGCGAGCAAGGCCAGTGATTTTCTTCCCCTTTTTTTTTTTGGGGGGGGGGGGGCAAGACCAGGAGAACGCAACATTCAAGGGAACATATCTACTATTTGGGGAAGACCATGCATACTATACCGGCCCATTTTGACAACAACAAAACAAACAGCATGCGTTCCTACAATATTCATTAATCGTTGTCGCGGTTGAAATCGAGTCTAAAGTTATGAAATTGTAAATAATAAACTTCTCATATTGTATAGCTCCCTTTCAATGTCAATATATTAATTTAGCTATGAAACAATGTTTCTTGACTAAAATCGACCGATTAGCTATTCCCATTTGGAAATTATATATCACAACTACATATTCTGAGATTTTCATGGTCGCAGCTACCATTGTACGGCCATAGGCGCTATTTGAAATTTATCAAAATTTACCGGGAGCACCGGTAAATTTTTATATTCATTTTTTTCTCGAAAACAGAAGTGTTTTAGGAGCTAATTTTTTTAGTGCTTATAATACATTCACAGGGGCATCCAAATATATCAAAATTGTAAAGATTCACTATCAACCCAATTTTCAAAATTTCCCAAAACTTTGTATTACCTTTAATGTATTAGGTTTTCATTGTGTTCTCCTCAAGTTGTTTACAAATGTAAACCTATCTTTCTAAACAGCAGAATTCTCCGCTGACAATTGGGCTTCTGTCTATTCTTGTACGACTTGCATGCGTCAGCTGCATCAAATATATTGTTTCCTTTTTTGTTTATTGTTGCAATATTTTTGTGTGGTTTCGGTATTAAAAACAGTCCTGGTAGAGTAAATCATGCTGGCAATCATCAGGATTAGCCTTCAGTTTACGACAAACAGGCCTTAGGGAATTCTTTGCATTTTCCTCCAATCGTCCATTACATTTCCCTCAACCGAAGACCCTCCGAAAGACTATAGGGGGCATTGTCCTGATGGGACCACGGGTTTGCTGTGTGCGAGACTTGTTGGACACCCATCAATAGTATTTCCTCCAAGTCTAGTGTCAGCGAATTATGACTTAATGCACATGAAACGGACTACCATGCATCTCCCTTTAACAGTTACTACCTATTATATGCTTAGTTTTATATCTCTGTTTAAATTACTTCACTATACCGATGGACCACGAGACCAACATTTTCCCACCTACTATAAATATTTGTCTTTGTTTCGTCTGTCTCATAGGCTTTCGGTCTCGTAGACCATTTTTAAAAGTCGGTCTTGTGGCCGGGCCGTCGGTCTCTTGGGCTGTCATTCGCTCTTCTGGGTGACCTAGCCTTTAAACAAGGCCACTTGTCTGATAGACGCCGAGCGATTAAATCGAGACTAATCGCGAAAACCCGAGTGAACGAGAGAGCTAGAAGCCCTTCGTGACATTCGTCACTCGGTCGCGCGTTCACTCCGGGTATCTAGACTCATCTCAGCTGCTTAGCCAGAGTCACGAGGCCTTATCAAAAGGCTAGGGGTGACCCCGTTGGTACCTTTTCTGTTCTGGGGCTACTTTACAAATCAAAATGGCGGTGGATACGTCTCCTTTTGAATTGAGAATATTTCTATATAGGCCTAGATAATCCACTAATTTTAAAGATCTATTTTAAAATGTTCATAATTCTTCTGCGTGGAGCCAGAAGGGCGTTAACTCATTTACCTTAACACACATAGTTAGTGCCCTTCTCCATGGCTCCAATCAGGTGATTATTGTCTTACATCCATCAATTAAATTAAGTGGGACTTTGTCACAATCAAGGAGAATGATAACAAATCATGTTTTAAAGCATCTCATCCCGTTAACAATCCATGTCCTAGCTTTGTTTTCCTTGTCTCGCTCGCTATACATGACTTTTTTTTTAATTGCTTAAGTTACTGATATTCACTTCTTATTTTCATCTATTTCAGGCTCTAAATACATTGGATTATCAACAGAAGTGAACGAATCTACACCTACATCAATCCATGACTGCATTCGTCAGTCATGCATGGTGAATCCAGGAAGCTCTCTATCATTAGAAACCCTGTGATGTAACATTACGTCGATTTGACCATTGCTTGGTCAAGTGTCGAATTCTACTCTCACATCGAGTTTGTAGCTCGTGACACCGGCGGATCATTTGACAGCAATTACCACTCCTTATTCACATGGTAGATTGGACAGCGAAAGGGTGAACAATATAGGTTGGATTGCATAATTTATCTCAAGATCCGTCAGACGCTATAGCTTGCCTGCTGGAAAATAATCCTTATGATTTAACTATTATGTTTACAACGTTCGTCTCCAGGAAGGTAGCAGAAAAGAATTCTTGCATTCGACAAGTGATTGTTGCCGTAACTTAGAAATGATACATATTTCTCAACGCAATCTGAAAGATCAATAACTTTTGACAAGCATTTTTTTTTACAGACTATGCCGTGATCGGATTCAGGAAACTCTCCTTTGTGAAAACCACGCCCTCGATCGAAGAATAGTTTACTCGGAACTAAACAGTGATCCGTTGTGCTTTTTTTTTGTTATCAGCATCAGCATCGGTATACGGAAGTGTGAGGTGATCCTGTTGAAACTTCCGGTCGTTTCATTGAGTGGTGCTTCGTTCGAAAAAGAACCTTAACTATTTTTGCTCAACAGTACAACAGTACGACTTTAAACTTCACCGACCGAAGTGAATACAGGCGGTTGTTAACTTATATATAAATCATCGCAATTTGAAACTTTATTCTGACATCCGTAATTGATGTGACCCCACAGCAACCCAACAACAACGCTCGGTAAACATTCTACCTTTTAAATTATCCTGTAAACTGTTGGTTTGATTACATTCAAAATGGCGGAGTATGTGGATGCGAACTTGACAACGGGCGACAACTCGTCGACGGGATCGCGAGGTTGTTCTGTCGACGTCAGCTCGGCAAGGGAAGAGATGGAGGGTAGGTTAACTCATGCTTATCAAATATATATGCTTCTCTTGCTCAATTAATAATTCATCATTAAAGTATTTATTTCAGTCCATCCAAAATTATTGATTAACAGGGGGTGAAATATTCTTTTTTTTTGCCGGTTTATGTATTAAGCAGTATAATCTATTTCGTTAGTTACAGAAAGCTAAAAGCCAGTATATATGATACAACTCTTTGTGATACTTCCACTGGAAGATCTAATTCCAGCGGAGGCAATATGTCAGAGGTTGTAACATGTAGGTCGTCAGTCAAAATAATGGAATATGAAAAACTAGTAACGCTAGATAACTTTATATATTCAAAATGAATACGAAACGTGGTTTCAAAATGATGTGGATAAGAATGATAAAAGTAAACTAGACATAATATACTTGCAACCTGTACAAGTACTGGTGATATGTACTCATTTGAAGATTATAATAAAGTCCTGTCATATGTGTCACGGTGTTAACTGTCATGATGTCATAACAATATTATCTTTTTTGAGTAGTAGTACAATGTAGCACATAAAATTTATGTGCTAAAGTAAGCAACTCACGTAAGTGCTGAGGCAAATTTTGACTTGTTCCTTTAATTCAATAATCTGACTATGATCAAATTGTCTAAATGAAAAGTAAATGTTTCCATTCTTGTAGCGCGAACTTTCAGCTACAGCATGTTAAATTTGGAAGAAAATAGGGTAGAAGCAAGCAAGACACTGCTGTCAAAAGAACACTGAGATTTGACGTCATTAATTTAAAAATAAAAATTCTTTCTTTAAATTGAAGAAGAAAAAAGCGACAACTAAGTGTTAAGTGTTTCAATGCTAGAGCTTATAACAAATCCAAACTCTTCTCTCCCTTAAATAATATTATGCCAACCTGACTACTCAACAATTAACAAAACAAAAAAAATCCCTTTTATTCCTCCTTTCTAACTCTAGGCGTGCATGGAGCCAACAAAACGCTTTAGTTTTTATAGTATATAATCACCCTTAGTCCTCACAATCTCCCTTTCTTTTGCTCCGCTTGGTGCCCTAAGTATTCTTTTTATGGTCAGATTTCTCTTAAATCCCATCTTAAATCCCATCTTAAATCCAATGGGGTAGGTATTTGTTGCAAAGATGGAGGTTTTCTATTCATTATTGCAAGCAAAGAAACTTTGAGTGTATATACAAAAACATCTGCTTGTTCTTTTACAGAGAAATAGGCCTTTCGATCGTTACTGCGATTGACGAAAATATTGTAGCTCATGACTTTACGACGAGATGCCACCAGCGACGATTTTCTAGTCTTGCTTATGATAATTCAATGTTTAGTTCCCAATAAACACGACGTTGCAACGGAATATCAATATTAAAGTCATCAGTTTTCTTTTTTCCTTCTAAAAAAAAACAAACTTTTTATTGTGTGATTAGTCTAATTACGTATTGATGATAAAGTGAGTCAAATGATACTGTACTGTAGTCTGCAAACATGAAAGTTGGTTATTTATAGAAGATCAATGATGGCAAGATTTACAAATAGTGAAATAGTTCATGAGACATTCAGACATCCACTTGGAATAAACAAGATGAGTGCTTATATCATTTATAATATTAGACTGATTAACAGCACGAGGAATTTAGAACTCAATAGTTTCATTGAGGAGTATAGATTTGTATGATTAAAGTTTTTATCATTTCATCATGTTATTTATGTTTATTTTGTGAACAATGTTACATTAGGATTTGTATCTTTATTATATTCGCTTCGTATTGGTACTGACAGTAACTATCATTTTATTATTATTATTAACATTATTTATTAGGCACCTTTAACACAAAAAAGAACATAATGAGTGAACAAAATATGGCAATAATTTCAAAGACAATGGTGCGCCCGACCAGGCGGCTTGGGAGGGAATAGGCCAACTAAATAACCAAGGCCCACAAGCCTTCTAGTACCACAACTTATCGAGTGCACATGTAATTTTCATGTTTTGTTGTGTCTTTATTTTGTCTATAATGATTTGATTTGTAAATATATAATCATGTTACCATGTTGACCTTAACATGATATAGAAAGTAATCAGTCAAAATGAAGTCAAACCAATTTTGAATCTTTTTCTACTATATCCAGTACTGAGATCAGTAGGATGGGGTATAGCCTTACTCGTCACCATGACTGCGCTATCCTGTGCTACAGTCGGCATGTTTCTACATTCGTGGGTTCGGATCAGGCGACAGGTCCCTTACGGAAATCGGAGGATTTTTCTTGTTCGTCTGTTTGCGCTTTTCCCGGTAAGACACGACGTTCTGTAGACTAAAATGAAAAAAGATTAGGTCAAATATTTTCATTATCGGGAACCATGATGCCTGAATGTGAAGTGACGGTTGTCTGAATATTGTTATTTACACATTTTTTTTAATTTATTTATTTATTTTTTATTTAGTGGTCCTCCTCTCCAGCATCCCCCCCCCCCCCCCCCCCGCTTGAATATTCACCGGCCGGCTGAGTCGGCGCAAAAGTGTTCCCAAAACACTGGACCCCCCAAAGCAAATATATATGTGCTCTTATCCACCCCACCCCCCCCCCCCCCCCGCTCATTCGCCGTTCGCCGGCAGGCTGATTCGCCGCTAAATATTTTCTCAAGATTTGGGCCCCCCCCCCTCTTGCCGCGGGCTGGATCCGCCCCTGTCAAACACACAGGTCATAAGTTAATTTGTTCATGGTAATTTTATATAAATAAGCCCATGTCCTTCATTTTCTTTCTTGTACATGTTATTGTATTGATTATCATAAATGTAAGGATTAGCATAATTATGATATTATATTCATATAGACAGAGGTGGAAGATATTCTTAGAACGAAATGATTATGATTCCAGTGGCGTAGCTATTGGGAGCCCATCGGTGAAGCCAGTGCCGCCCAAGGGGGCATAGGGCATATAATCAACAACTCCTTAGAAAGTGCGAATACATGAAGTGTGGCTTTCATCATGCCAAAGTATGAATGAAAACCCCCTGATTATTTTATCTTCTCTATTCCCCGTAATATGACGTCATCAAATTACTTGGAAATGAGTTATTAAAAATGACGCGTGATATTTATCATGTCATAGAGACAGATAATTGAACACTATTATACAAACTGGCATAACATTCCGCAGGTGCAATTCTCGATTCATCGCATTCTTCAATAGTCATGATGGTAGATAGTACCGAATATAAAGGGATTTGTACTAAAAAAAAAGTATGATGGTATTCATGATTTATGGACGCATTTACATGTTCTCTTAAATATCATATCGCGCTGAAATAAAACATTAGCATCAGGTTGTTTAAAGTCACAAAAATGATCCGCAATATATCACTGATAAGTTCTTTTATTGCCTGTAAATGTTGTTTCATTCCTTAAATTCTGTATTTTATACATTCATCATCGAGTTAAATCTAAACGATTTGCCACTGCAAAGGGCTTGTCATAATATGTATTTCATTGTAAACTGAATGCAATTCATTGTATTGGCTGACATATTCAGTATTTTATAAGCCATTCAATCATTCAATCAATCAATCAACTTATTTATTAAACTGCGCTAGGATACATATTGCTAGGATTCAATTTGAAAATTCTTTCTTAAAAAAAAAAAGTAATATCTTGTTCCTCATTTTGATTCCCCCTTTTTTAAAGGTCTTTTCAGTAACTTCTTTGGCTGGCTTCTATGTCCCCAGAGCATCGCTTATAGCAAACTGGGGATCTAGTTTGTAAGTATCGGTTTTGAGTAATTCTTTTTAATTTCAAGCAACTGTTAATAGTTGTTAACAGTGGCAGAACCAAAAACACTAAACTGGGGGGGGGGGCGGGCACGTTTTAAAAGAGACAAAATTGTGTTAGTGACATGTGTGCCCCTGTGAAGTTTGATAAAACTGTTCGTTTATTGTTGCTTCTGATTTGTTTAAATCTTCTATATATTTGATGATAATAATGATGATAACAATAATAATACTAATAATAATTTTATAAATAATAATGATGATAATATTAACAGTTATAATAATAATGATAATGAAGATAAAAATGAAAATGATACTAATATACTAATACATAATAATGATATCAATGATGATGATGATAATGATACTACTACTACTAACTACTACTACTACTACTACTACTACTACTACTACTACACATCACCCCAGTACTTCGCGAATTGCATTGGTTGCCGGTGACGTACCGCATTATGTACAAAATCTTAGTTTTAACTTATAAATGCATTCATGAATTGGCACCAATTTATCTGCAAGAATTAATCGAGGAATACAAACCTTCACGCAGTTTACGGTCATCTTCACAATTAAACCTTGTATCTACTTCTGTGTCAACTCTTTCTTATGGTAATCGCTCCTTTCGCAAAGCTTCTGCTGAACTTTGGAACAGATTACCTTTAAATGTAAAAAACTGTCAAACTGTTAACCTATTCAAAACTAGTCTCAAGACACATTTATTCAAAATAGCGTTCAATGATTAATTAACTCTGTTCACTTTGACGTGTATTCCATATGTATTTTAATGTGTATGTTTATTTGCATTTTTAGTTTTGTATAAGGTGTAATTGTATATCAGTCTATTTTGTGTGTATATCGTTTAGAGACTTCGGTGGTAAGCGCTTTATAAGTAACGTTTTTATTATTATTATTTTTTATTACTTCTACTACTACTACTACTCCTACTACTTCTACTACTACTACTACTACTACTACTACTACTACTACTACTACTACTACTATACTACTACTATTACTACTAGGCCCTACTACTACTCATACACTAATACTACTACTACTACTACTACTACTACTACTACTACTACTGCTACTACTACTGCTACTACTGCTACTACTACTACTACTACTACTACTACTACTACTACCACTACTACTACTACTACTACTACTACTACTACTGATTATGATAATGATAACTATAATAATCTCAATCTGTTGATAGGTATCTGTCGGCGACTCTTTACACGTTCGTTCTCCTGATCGTCGACTACTATGGGGGCGTGGGGCCTATGGAGGACCATCTCGATGGGATCAAGGTCTCCCTCTCTGCCCCGCCCCTAACATGCTGCTGCCCGTGCTTGCCAAAGATCAGTTTCACCATGTAGGTTGAATTTTCATGTACTATTTGGAGTTGGATTTTATCGTTATGAATAAGCAAGTAGGCCTACATAGTAGTGACATTTCCGATATGTTAAGCCATTTTGATTTGATCAATTTCATTAATCTTAAAAGTCGCTCAAAACAGAGTTTTTCGAAGATTTCATAGCCTTAAATATGAATTTGGAAATATTTGTAGTCACGTCTATTTTGCCACAATGCAAAAGGAAATCCTTACTTATCAAGTTATGCTATTATATGTGAAGCTATCTCCATAATGTACCACCAGCTATCAGTGTGATATTGTCCCATGATTATAATCAATGCACTTGCACTTAATTTTGGCAGCATGGTTGAAAATCAGTCAAAGTTTGAAGCCTCAACTGAAGCAACATCTTTATGATACTTGATCCTCGAATACACGACCTCCCGCCTGATCCCCTATGTGAGGTGTCGTGGTGTAGTGGTTCATTCACCTGACTCTCAATCCATAGATTGAGGGTTCGAATCCCAGCCCTGCACTAATTTCCTTCGTTATTATTATTCAAATTGAATTCAAACGCATCGTAGACCGTGTTACTAGCCCTTTTAATATTTTCGTACTTATTTTGGAAATCTTGTTATTCCCGTTTTATAATTTTCTACATGGATTTTGGCTATTCTGATGAGTCTGAACATCTAGTTTATAAAAGTATGCATCCTTCATGCAAAGTGATAATAGGGACTTTTAGATTATGCACGACGAGAACGTGGACTGCCCTTTTAAGGCAATGTGTCGTCCCTGCCAGTGCCTTAAAAAGACATCACATTACCTTAAAAGGGCAGTCCACGTTCTCGTCGTGCATAATCTAAAAGTCCCTAATGTTTGTGATACCATGCATGTAGTTCATGAATTTCGGGGTTCGATTCCCATACAGGACGAACTTTCATCGAATGAGAATGCTGGTCTTACAGACCGCTTACATCAGACCACTTTGCGTGTTTCTTGGTGCTGTGTTGTGGGCTGACGGTATCTACAAACCATCCATAGTAAGTGAAATCGTGAAGACTTTCAGGAAATTCACTTAAGGGCATTTCCAATACCAGATTGTATTGCAATATGCCCTGATCGTGTCATTTTTATGCATGCAATCGTTGACTCCTAAGAGTATTGAAATGTCCTTTATAGGTTGATTTTATTTAAATTTAATTTTTTTGCGATTATGTTGGGGACAAGATGAATGTAATTGTTATTATTTTTGTTTGATGTGTCGCTTGAAAACAAGTGTGTGTGTAATGAGATAAACACCCACATTCATAGTTTTCTACATGCTGACTCTTTATAATGCATGCTGTCGACAAAACTAGAAACGAAAATTCTTTGATTAAAAAAGTAAGACGTATCGGCAACTTCTCATGATTAAAATGTACGTCTGTCGGCAAATTTGAGATAAATAATAATAATGATAATAATATTCCGCTTTTATATAGCGCTTAATACAATCTACGATGTCTCTAAGCGCTTAACAGATATACTGAGGATTTTTTCTGGGAGGAATTTCTAGCCTATATTTGGTCCTACATCACTCCCCCATACAAAATGACGTCACAGGATGATACAAACTAGAGGTCACGGAGGTAGAGATGTTATTCTCTCTCTCTCTCTCTCTCTCTCTCTCTCTCTCTCTCTCTCTCTCTCTCTCTCTCTTGTCTCATGTCTCACCAATTCTCTCTCCCCCTCAACTCTCTCCCCCTCTCTCTCTCCCTCCCCATCTCTCTCCCCTCTCTCTTTCTCTCTCTCTCTCTCTCTCTCTCTCTCTCTCCCTCCCCATCTCTCTCCCCTCTCTCCCTCATCCCCTCTCTCTTTCTCTCTCTCTCTCTCTCTCTCTCTCTCCCCCTCCATCCAGATTGAAGCCGACTCAGCCTTCGTCTACCTGAGCGTCATCACTCTCGTATCGTCCCTGGTCGCTGTCTACGGCCTCTCCGTCATCTACAACGCCACGTACAACCAGCTCCAGCACTTCATGATCTCCGTCAAGTTTGTCACCATCAAGTGCGTGCTCATTATCACCAACGGGCAGAACCTCGTCATCGCCATGCTCATCGCCAAGGATGTCATCCCGTGCGTCGGACCCCTCGACTCGGCCGCCAGGGGAGCGTGTGAGACTAAGATTCGTTTTCTTTTTATGTCTTATCCAGGACAATCGAAGGGTTTTAAAGACCATCTCTACTAGATAGGCCAGGGGGGAATAGACCTCACTGCAAGGTCACTGGCAGGTGGTTATCTCATCAAATCAGCTCTCAGTTAACATAAGAAAAATAGGATCATGGGTGGACCAACAGGCACCGATTATGCACTGTTTGCCATATAGAGGGCGCAAGTAGCTATAAGTAATGCAGTGGGCCTTTAATTCCCTGGCTGCCTTACCCCTCACCCCCACCGTGTTAAAACATGGGGGTCGGATTTGTTGGATGAATGGGGCGGCGGGGAATTATCAGAATAATGGGTGTGGGCAGTACCGGGTTTGCTGGCCCGAATTCACAAAGGAGGTTTTTCGACAAAGTCCGTAGGTTTATGTGCGTCATATGACGCGTTTCGACGCGTTTCATACCTCCTTTGTGAATTCGGGCCACTAGGTCTGTGAAATGAAAAAAAATAACATCGAGTAAGAAGAATGTGAAGGGAGTTGGAATATTTTTAATTTTATTTTACCTTGTCTCCTCTCCCCAGCCCTTTTCATCTTTTATCTTTCTTTTGTAGCCCACTTGCAATCATATTCCAATACTCACTCTTTCTATGTATTCCTCTCTATCTTCCTAAACCACTTTCAAACGACTTTCATTTTCTCTCCACCCACGCAGTCCTCTACAACATGCTCGTCATCTTCGAGATGTTTCTCATGAACTTCTTCTTCAAGATCTACTACTGGCGATGGATGGTCAAGCACGAGTACGGCCACCGCTTCGTATCGGCCTCGGTCGGTGAAATCACCGACATCAAGAACTTCGAAGCAAACGCACCCATGAACGTCATGAACGAGCGCATCAACGGGTCATTGTCGAATGTCTCGAAGTAGGGCTCGTTTAAGAGTGAGACGGTCGTATGATGACGGTGAAGCTATCGTCTGAGAGTATGGACTACTCAGTGGCGGATCCAGGGCCCCCCCCCCTTGAGAAAAAAACCATGTAAAATCACGTGATTTTTACCTTTTTGGCGCTCAAGGGGGGGGGGGGTGCGAATTGAATTTTTTTTTGAGGATCAAACCAACTACCAACGGGTCGGATACACCCCTTCCCCCATATTTGTCAAGTTTTAATGGACATAATGTTTAACAGTGTACATGAAAGAGAAGGAAACGCATGCGTATTCACATATTCTTTTATTTTTTGTAATCATTTTTTGTTTAAATTTATGTTTTATGAAGAGGGTTGTATAAAATGTCATAATCGTGAGTTATGATTCTTTCTTTTTATATTCATCTATACAAAATAAATTGGGTTGTAATGGTTTAATAATGATTCTCTAATGTTTTGATAAACATAGGCCTATATTTCTCGTTATACTCTTCTTCTACCCATTATTCTTTCTTTGTCTCCCAGTATGTAGAAACCGAGAAATTGGAATTCCTTTCCCCTTCCCTTTTTCCTTCTCCTCCGTTATAGAACTAAAAATGCGGCACTAAGTAAACTCATCATTCTTTAACCACATTAACCATATTCGCACATTGATTTTGTCTCTCGGAGAGCAGTGGTAAATTGATTTTTGTGCATGATATCAATAATTGAATATGAAGTTGTTTTTTTAATGTATGTCTTATCCCTCTCTTTCTCTCGCTTTGTTCCATTCTATGTTTTACCTCCTCCTTTTCTCCTTTGTTTCCCTTCTTTATTTTCTAATAAAAATGAAATGCGCACACTTATCAACTTTATCACGCGATTTGCTCTACAGTATCAAATTAAAACTTTGCATATATATATATAAATACCAGAAAGCATTTGCTAGCCTTTTTAAAATTTGAAATATATTATCGACTAACGAAAATGCTGCAAATTTTAATATGTAAATATTGTTATTTGTAGAAGATTTGAAATTGTGACAACTACGTTTCCATTAATTATTCCCTCTCAGTAATGTTCATATTTTCCGCCAGCTTTAACAATGTCAATTAAAAATAAGTTCATCATAATAGCTCAAATTATTCCAAGTCTGTACGCCAAAAATAAATAAAAGTGTTTGATATTATTGATGGTCCTTCCATTGTGACATGCCATGTTTGCATATTGTGGTCAAGATAGTTTTGGCTCGCACCCAGTAGTTAAAGATCGCACGCTCGATCTTGTAATTGAAAACAAGTCAGAAAAAAAAATCATGGAACCAGCGGATTTGAACCTGCCATCTACTGCTTGTCGAGCAGCGACTCTACCACCAGGCCATCACTCAATATTACACGATCGAGCCCACATCTTTCTCTATTTGGTGAAAGCCAAAGAAAATTCTTTACAACAATTAAAACGTCTTCCAGGAAACCTAACATTCAAATATATACATATTGATGTATTTATTATAAGTTTGATAGAACCTGAATAAATGATTTTTTTTTGTAACTGATTGTAAACAACAACAAAAACAACGTTTGAAATCTCATGTGTGTATAGTTCAATTCTATGTTAATATTTTAATAAAGGAATTACTAAGCTGTGAATGAAAATTGTGAGGCGATCCAAGGAGAGATGGTAATGGGGGAGGGGGTGAGGTCCAGAAGGGCGGATCCGCGTGAATTAGAAAGACAGCGAGGGAACAGAAAGAGAGGGAAGAGAGTATGATTCAGTGAGATAGATAGATATGGGGCCGACCAGACTTGGCCTGGAGGCTCGGTTCTGGAAGTACTAGTGTTAATAGGCGTTGGGGGGGGGGGGGGGGGGTATGTGACTCCAGTAGGCCTCGATGTGTTGCGAGCAAGGCCAGAAATTTTGCCCCTTTTGATGGGGGAGGTAAAGCCCTGGGAACGCAACATTCAAGGGAACATAACGACTAAATGGGGATCATCATGCATACCTTGCATTCTACGCCCCACTTAATTTGACTTTTTTTCTTCAAATTATCATATTATGTACAAAATGTGGTATGTAATGAAAGAAAAGTGTGCACACTTTTCTTTCATGTGTGTGGATGAGTGGGGGGGGGGCTGCAGCCCCCAGCTGATTCCGCGGCGAATGAGAGCGGAAGAGAGAGAGAGAGAGAGAGAGAGAGAGAGAGAGAGAGAAAGACTGAGAGAAAAAATACTGTAAAGAGAGAAAGAAGAGGGTACAGGGGACTGTAGAGAGGAAAGGAAATAAAGGTTAATCGATGATGGTTGTTTTGGTCTCTCCGAGCCTAATTACCACGTTAATTTTACACGGCATGACTTCACATCTGCCACGTAATTCATAAGAAGACCCCCCCCCCCCCCTCACCAAACATGCATGGATGCTGAAAGCCAATTAAGGCCCGGAGCTAGTTATAAGGATAAAACACGGCGAAAGTATCATATTCAGTTAGATGTGCAGAGATCGTAGCAGAGAGATAGAGAGAGAAAGGGAGGGAGAGAGAGAGAGAGAGAGAAAGAGAGAAAGAGAGAGAAGGAGAGAGAGAGAGAGAGAGAGAGAGAGAGAGAGCGAGAGAGCGAGAGAGGGAGAGAGAGAGAGAGAGAGAGAGAGAGAGGGGGGGGGGGGGGGTAGGTAGGGTAAATAGTTCACTGAGATTTGAGTGAGAGATATCTATAACGAATAACAAAAGAAGTAATAAGTGATCCAAGGAGAAGAAAAGGGGAGAAGAAGTAAAAACGAAGAAGCTAGAGAAAACGAAAAAGAAGCAGTCAAAGAGAAAAGAAGTAAAATAAGAAGAAATAGGATGTTATAAAAAAGGAGGAGAATTAAGAAGCAAGAAGAAGAGTTATCAAATGTTAGTTTTTAGTGTTTATGCGTGTGTCATTCATTTGAGGCCGCCATCCTTGTCAAGCTTTGCTTATGATTGCGGTCTCCTGCACTTTTCCAACAGAATAGTTCGGATAATACTTTAAATTTATGATTATATGTTATGGAAATATTAAGTTTCGTTATTATATGTACATATATTATGTAAAAAAACATTTTGACATGAAGAAATTATTGTTTGTTTATCTTGTATCAGGGCATGTCTCACCTCCCTGCTTGTATTATACCTTACATTTATATGTTCTTTGTTATTCAGTTATATTTTATATGGAAAAAATGCAGAAATAAAATAAAATCTAATAATGAATATTTTATTGTTATTGTTGTTGTTCTTTGGTTTATAGGCGTTTGTCATTCAGAAGTGAATATTTACGCCTCTTCTCTTAGGATTTGTTTCCCCTTTAAAATTTCCTCTTTTGTTTGTTAGCTTTGACTTAATGCAATGGAGATAATTATTCAATTTTAATTCCTATTCACATCAATTTGATTCTTTTGAAAACCTACAAATAAACATAATTAATATATAAATACATAAATTAAGTAAATTCATTATGTATTCATGTCTAATTTTAATTTTGTTCACTTTTTAATTTTATAAAAATATAAGCATCGCCACATTCGAGACTAGTTCTCGGTGCCATGTGTATGATGCAATAGTTTCGCAATCTGAAGCTGAACAACCGTAAGCTGTGGACGGTCATTTACAAAGCTCGGTAAAGTATGATTTCCCAAATATTAAAAAATATATATTATGTCAGATCTTTTAAGATGTGTGATAATGTTATGTGACTTGGTTGTTTGCAGAAATATGTTGATATAAGTCAAACTAAATTGTATTTATTTTACGTCCTCGAATGAGCCTGTTTGAAAACATGAAAATGAATGCATGGGACTGTAAATAAATTTGATCATGACCCGCCCAATATATTATTTACTGCATGCACTAGTGCACACCTGTCCAGTAAAAACTAATTTGGCATAGATTTGTACCGTAATGGCGGGGGGGGGGGGGGGGGTTGCAATGCATTAGAAAATTGTATAGATCTATCGCTTGTAAACTATTGATGAGGAAATAGAGTAAAGGAGCCGGTAATCGGCCAGCTCCAGTTTTCGGCCGATTGGTTAGATGCAAGGTAAAATCACTCTAAAATACATCGCATAAATAGCATAACACATATCCCACACATACCATACCATGCCAGTGTCACTGAAGAACCACATTTGCAATGGAAAATATATCCTAAAATATCACATTTTAGCGATGTAATCGCCGGTCCCGCTACCCAAATCTGAAAAATCGAGTATCTTACGCGTGTCTGTAAGAAATATGGGTACCATAAAATGAGCTTTATTTCAAGTATTTTTCAGATTTAGAGCCCGATTTGTGCTAGTTGCAAGCTCAAAAGTATCTCATCGCATGTATTAAATCAATGCAGCTGCACACCGCGACGCACACACGATATCTCTGTCTAATTCAGATTCCAACTTCCGATCACCGCTGTGCCTGTCTTCGGCCAGGCGAGCACCAGGGAGCTCCGGCGTGGGATACCTGCTCCGCCCGCTTGTGCTGTACATCAGCGCGGAAACGCACGGCGCGCGCGAGCGCTTCCTATTGACTTTGTACATGCGGCCGTAAACTGAAACGCTCGGCCGATAACTGGCTCCAAAACAGTGAAAATTGAAATGAATATTGTCATGGCAATTCGTGATTTTTTTTCTGGGATTCTTTTTTTGTTTAAATAATAATAATATTTGCTTCATGATTTGAACAAGAAATGACAATAAATAGGAAGTAAAGAGTCCTAAAAATAGGATTTTGTCTTAAGTGGCCGAAAACGGGCTCCTTTACTCTACCATACTTTGAAGCCATCCGTGGCACCGCGTGTCTTTTGTTTCCCCTATCGTAATCCCCTTAATCCCCCTCCGAAACCGTACAGCTCCCTAGTAGCACTAGGTCCTCCCTTTCCACACACATCCCAGCGAGCATGGCGGCTTTGCTTTGTGGGCCCGTATTTGGGGTGAATAGTGGTGATAACTTGACAACTTCTAGCCCCCAATCAATAAATGCGCAAACATATAACACAATTTCATTAAGTTCTTTAGGAAGATAAACCTTTAGACTACTTTCCTAGCTATGTACAAATTTCGGAAATTTTCGGAAAATATCAATAATTAGATGAGAAAATCATGATGATGAAAACCTTTCATTCGCTCTAACTCACGATTTCCTTGGTCGATTTCGCTGGTTGAAATGGCCATGCATTCAGTAGAGCTATCGGAGAACAGAAAAAGCATTTGATGACTAATATAAAGTTGCAATGGTCTTATGCTGTTAATTCTGTATTTTATATGTTATAGCTAAATACATCTTTACTGAACATGACTTAATTTTTCGGTGCCACGCATGGCTTCAAAGCTCGATGCTTGCATATATTTGCAAAAGAGTGAATAGAGAACTTAGGGAAGCAGATGGCGTTACGTAACATTTCGTACTATTTGGAATTCCAGAGAGGGACTGTGCATTGATATGGACAGCTGTTGATGGAAATGATGGTTGGAGAGGGTTACATTTCTTTTTGTTAAGCCAGGTTAATCTTGAATATTTTTCCCTCGGAAAATTCTTTCGAGACGGTATCTCCATTCATTACAGCTTCCTGGTTGATCCAGACTTAGATTTCTAATTCTAAAAAAACCACAAGCTTAACTTTAATTAAATAGATCTATACACAATTACACATTTCTGGCCAGGCTGAGCCTTATTCTTTTGTACAAATAAAGTTTAGTGGACATTGTCAAGAACATCTGATATTTCCTGTTATAATTCAAGATGCAAGTCCCGTCCAAAACTTGAGTGAAATAATCCCTGCTGATATTTTCGCCATTGTGCGTGTTGTTATCAGGGATTGTCTAGGTTCTTTCGGCAATCAACTTACCCAATAAAGTTCTTTTGTGAAGTCACAATTAATGGGTTAATAATGAACTTGACAAGTCTTGCTCATTATCCAATTGTGACTTAACCACCGTGTAGTGCATATTCACTAATGCACTTGCAAACATGAATTGTATATTATTGCTTCCCGCCTACCCTGGCATGCATTACTGGTGACAACATAGATTTATGTCTTGGCAAAGGGCAATAGTACCATAGCTGAAACTTGAACCATTAACCATGTGATCCACAGTCTGGTGACGTATCTACAAAGCCACAGCACCTCCCCATGTATGCTTTGCAGTTTGCACCTGTGTTCTGGTGTATTTATCTAATCATAATTCGAATCATAATTATCCATTGATTCTGTTCTCCCACAGAGCAACTGAACATTTGCATTCAAGTTCTAGAGTCTTGTGAAACAAGAGTAACAACTCAACATGGCTACACCTAGTACAGTTGAGGAGAAAATGGATCTGATTACCAGAAATTTGCAGGTATTTTTTTTTCTTTCTTTGTTTTTCACATTCTCCCCCCTAAATGATAGTCAGGTAAAATGGCAACCCAATTTAGGGTCAAATAAAGTATTATTTTATGAGAATCATTTAAAGCCACACTGAATCTGGTTATAGTTTTGAGCAATTTTACACATCACAGCTAATTGGAAGAACTTGTATTTATTTACAATGGTGCCTCTTTGGATGTATGGCCCTCACCCTTCATCTGTACTTGTCTAAATTAGTGTAGTGTGTGGGGATAGGGTATTTGTCTGTTTTGCAAATTGTCAAGATCAAAAGCAAGGGATCATGCTCTATCTCTTACTCGAATTATTGAAATGATAAAAAAAATCACAAAATGTTGAGACTCTGTATCTTATGTGAGAGTTGTTGGAATATATAAAAGTAAATCATCAAAAACTTAACTTTCCCATCCTTCATTTTTGTGCCCCCCATTGCAGGAGGTCCTTGGCAGAGACAAGTTGGAGTCATTTTTGAAGGAAGGGAAGGATATAGCGGTCTACTGGGGCACCGCCACCACCGGAAAGCCCCACATTGCCTACTTTGTGCCCATGAGCAAGCTAGCGGATTTCCTAAGAGCAGGATGTCAGGTAAGACTTTTAAAGCCCCACTGCACTACTTATAGCTACTTGCGCCCTCTATATAGCAAACAATGCCTCATCGGTGACCGTCGGTCCCCCATGGTCTTCTTTTTCTGATGTTAATTGTGAGCTGATTTGGTGAGATAACCACCTGTCAGTGACCATGCAGGGAGATCTAATTCCTCCTGGCCAAACTAATGCAGATAGGCTTTAACCATGTACCGGTGGTTCGCTGACATTTGAACCAGCAAGAATGACTGTATTTAAAGAAATCTATATCATTTGTACAAATGACCCCCAAATATCCATAGATCTTTTACACATTGAGACGTCCCATTTTGCTCATTTTAGAATAATCACTGCCAAAGTGATGGACACGCTTCGTGAATACCTTTTGTTTGTCGTATTGAAAAGAATACTTCTACCTGTGTATCACAGAATGTACTGCCGGTGCAAGAATAAACAGTGGCATAACTATCATGAACATATAGCCAGCAGTTGTCTCGATAAGTTTTACAGATTTGTACAAATGGCCTTTATGTAGCTAAACTAGCTATGCCCAAATAGTATCTCTGAGGTGGCTTAAATCGCTCCAGGCTTGATATAGGGTTAGGGTTTGTACATGAATATATCTGTTTCAGGGTTGAAGTTCGCTATTTTGTTAGTATAGAGAAATCACTGTGGAGCATTGTTGTACTTGACTGAAAGCTTCAGGCCCTTATTATCAACGGTTACCGCTATGCTGAAACAACGTCTTGCTCCTCTGACTGCCTCTATACAGGGACCGAAGTGCGATGTTTGGGTTAGTGAGGAGAGGTTACTCAGAAAGATCATCAGTTCAGTATCGCTTTAGAGGAAATATTCAACAAGTTTCTGTGATTACTGTGAAATAATTGTTTTATTGATTTAACTCCTTATGTATATGTGCCAAAGAACAATCATAAATGTTATAAGATAGTACAGAAGAAAAAAGAAGAAAAAAGAAGAGTAAATAGAACTGTAATTAGAAAAACATACAAAAACAAATTGATGGTATAATTTATTCCTCCATTATTTTTTGGACTTGTAGGTGACGATCCTGCTTGCCGATCTCCATGGTTACCTAGATAACATGAAAGCCCCATGGGAGCTGCTTGAGCTCAGGACCAAGTACTATGAGCATCTCATCAAGGCCATGCTGGAATCCATTGGGGTACCGATAGAGAAGCTTAGGTTCATCAGAGGAACAGACTACCAGCTTAGCAAGTAAGTAGAATTAAGATATAACGCATCACAACCACATGTAATATGCTCAACCTGTTGCTGTTTGTTTACTCAGTAAATCTCATGCAAGAGACATTTTCAGAGCTTGTGACCTTATTAATGGTCGACTATCTACTCAAAGTATCTTGCTTCCTGCAACCAGAGGAACTGAATAAAAAGCTTCATTAAAGGCCCACTGCACTACTTATAGCTACTTGCGCCCTCTATATAGTAAACAATGCCTAATCGGTGACCATTGGTCCCCCATGATCCTCTTTTTCTTATGTTAATTTAGAGCTGATTTGATGAGATAACCACCTGCCAGTGACCATGCAGGGAAGTCTAAACCCTCCTGGCCAAATTAGTGCAGTGGGGCTTTAAAGGGAAAGTCTACCCCAAAAATAAGTTTGTTTCGATAGAGGCAGAATAATAAGAAAATCAGGTGAGTGAAAGTTTGAGCAAATTCTGAATGAAAATAAGAAAGTTATGAATTATTGAAGTTGTGATCAATCAAATACAAATTGGCAACTCTGTGACTTATTATACGAGCTCTCCTTCATTTGCTTTGTGCATAATATTCCATAAAATCATGTTTTCTTCGTTATTGATGACGGAATATATATTTGTTCCTTGCAGGGGGAGTATAGAAACATATTTGCAATTATTATATTTAGGGTGCATGTATGGTTGAAATTTTTCTTGAGGGAAAATGAAAATTTTAGATTTTTTTAGTACTGAGCAAATGGAAGTTGAGCTCGCATGATATGTCATAGAGTTGCCAATTTGTGTTTGATTGATCACAACTTCAAAAATCCTAACTTATTTTTAATCAGAACGCATATGCGGTCTTACAATATTCAGTGATCGTTGTCGCTGTTGAAATCGAGTCTAAAGTTATGAATTAGCCTCGTTTTTTTTTATACTTCTCTAGTAGACCCTATTTTCTCAAAATCGTATCTTGTCTAAATTCTGCACATTTCTATAAACTCCTCATTTTCTCACATATAAACTATAAATCCAAACCACTATCATCCTTTCCAATCTGTCTATCAGGGAGTACACCTTGGACGTCTACAGACTCTCTTCCGTGGTCACCGAGCACGACGCCAAGAAGGCAGGAGCCGAGGTGGTCAAGCAGGTAGACCACCCCCTTCTCAGTGGTCTGCTCTACCCGGGGCTCCAGGCGCTAGATGAGGAGTACCTCAAGGTCGACGCTCAGTTTGGAGGCGTCGATCAGAGGAAGATCTTCACCTTTGCAGAAAAGGTGAGATGATATTGAGAATAATGTTAACCTGTTGATTACTGAATTTTCTCATTCCCATAGGCTTAACACAGGGACCACCCGGTTCCAGTAGACGATAGGTTAATAATGATGTAGAGATTTGTATAGTGTGGTTCTAATGTGAATGTACTTGAATGTACTTGACTTACCAGTACAGGCTTCAATGATGTTCTGTAAATGTTTTGTTATATGTTTATGAATTGTATTTTACTTGGCAAGTTGACACTTTGATATAGATTTAATGTAAATATGATCCTTTGTTTTTACTCTTCTACTCCAAAGGGGGTTTGATTTACTCTTCAAATCTCATTGAAATCTAATTTCACTTTTATACAAGAATACATGCAGCTCTTTTTGAATACATTCATCATGTTTTTGATATTCTCTGTCTTCAGTTTTTATGAGTGATTATTGAAAATTGGTGTGATCTTCTGTTTTACCTTTCCTTCTACAGTACATGCCTCAACTTGGTTATGCAAAGAGAATACATCTCATGAACCCTATGGGTAAGTTTATTGATACAATACATTTTTTGTTTTTTCTTGAAAGTACCTATACCTGCTTTCAAAAGAATATCAAATGAGGAACAAAATTTGTGTACATTTTGTCAATGTATGTACGTTTGACCACCGTGAGACAAACTGATCATATTGTGGGTCAGGATGGTCAAAGGTCAAAGTCAGCAGGTCAATATGAATGAAATTGAATTTTTGTGTTAAACCTTGTCAGCACAAGATCAATAACTATTAGCAGTGAACTTAGGACTTGTTAGATAGATAGATAGATAGATAGATAATTTATTGGTCCATATTCAAAAACATAGAAAATTGGCCTCCACTGGCAGCACATAAACATAATACAAAGTAGTTACAAAATAATTGATATGTCACATAATGTACATAAATTCACACGAGATCATGACATTAACAAAAAGCATAAGTATAAATTACATAGTAATAGGGAAAAATAGGGAAAGAAGTCGACATTCAAAGATTGAGAAGTGAGGAAAAAGTCGTAAGGAGACTGAGGAGCAAAAATAGTAATAAGAGAGAGAGGGGAGAGGGGGGAAAGAGACAGAGAGGGAGGGGAGAGATAGAGAGATAGAGAGATAGAGGGAGACAGAGAGAGAAAGATAGGAACGAAAGGTGGACGTAAGGAGAGAAGAGGGTATAAATAGAGGGAGGGGAAAGAAAAGGAAAGGAGGGGGACGAGTTACTTGTTACTTGTATGCATCACAACAGGGAGGAAAGTGATTAGATTTTGGGATTGTCAGGTCATAGGTCAAAGGTCATAAGAATCAGCAGACTTTAATTATAGCAGTTTTGTTCTCAATGTGATATTTGAAGAATTATTCAAGCCATGATCTTAAATTTATTCAGGCGTAGGCATAGTACTAGTAGAGATGCAGTTGCATGTCTTGTTTGTGTTTAATTCAGTTTTTTTATTGTGTCTTCTTTCCTTTCAGTGCCAGGCTTGACAGGAACAAAGATGAGCTCCTCAGAAGAGGTAAGGAGCTCGATCAAATCAATTCTTTTTCCAACAGAATTCATTCTAGATTTGTTAATATTTCTTGAAATATATTTTTTGCTGTATTTTAGAGGTTCCATGTCACTATACTGTGTTCAAAATATGAGCTTCAGATATTACTTCTTCAAAGAAGATATTGCAATTTAAATACTTTTTCAGTGAAAAGTAAAATGTCTTGTTGTGTAGACTAGATAACGCACACACATGCGCGCATTTCTAGTATTGGTTTTGAACAAGCCCTATACGCAGGGTTTCATGTTATTAATTTTCTTCATAGTGACATATTTATGCCTGAGCAACTTATTTACTTGTGGACGAAACAAATATCCATGTCAAATGTTTAAAAAAAACATATTCATTACATTCTCATTAATTAAAATTCAGAATAGATCAAGAACTTCAAATGTCTTTGCTATTCATATAGGTTGATTGTTAGCTGTGAAACAGTCCTATTCGAATTCCTATTTTTTTAATGTCAATATTTTACTATTTTAATAATAATTATGTATAAGAAGTATTTCTTTTATATTTACTGTATGTTGATGTTACTGTTTGTATTATGGAATCGAATAAATACTGAATTGAATTGAATCTTTAATTCTACAGTTCATTTTTTATAATGTAGTCCCACAAACCTTATTTCATGCAGGATTCAAAGATTGATTTACTGGACGATGCTGCAGCAGTGAAGAGAAAGATCAAGAGGGCATTCTGTGAACCAGGCAACATTGAGAACAACGGAGTCCTGTCCTTCGTCCAGTATGTGCTCATGCCTAATATGAAGACGGGTATGCTAATTTCATTATTCTTAAAGGGACTGGGCAACTTTGTCTCAGATTCTGTAACAAAATCCTGGATTTAGCTCATGCTGCAATGATAATTATAAACCTAAGGTCAGTCAGGAACCCCATGACTTTTACAAGCTGATCTTCAGTCTGATTATCAAGATGTTTATGATTGGAAATCAAAATTTAAAAATTAGTTTTTCTAACAGTTTTTATAACACTACAGTCTACTGGGGAAGATGAGTATGGTATAACCAGTCACTCAAAGATTTTTACTTTTTTGAGGCACTTTATAATCAGCGCAATTTTAGGGCTTCAGAATTACACCATATCACAGGCACTTTTAACATGTAGGGCCATGCATCTCAGATTCAACATTGTTAAACGATGCCTTAAGGAGCTTGTGATGTTGATTAACACCTTTACATTGATGTTATGAGAGAATGTTCTTTCATATGGAAGCAAATTTAATTTTACCCCTCATAGATTCCAACCCTTAAAATGTAAATATCCTCAAAATGCAATTTAATTTCCTCTGTAGACTTGGTGATCGAGAGAAAAGAAGAGTTTGGAGGAAGCATTGGTTTTGCTACGTTTGAAGCGCTTCAAGAGGCCTTTGGCAAAGGGGTAAGAACTCTGAATCCAACAGAACATTTTACACTTCAACATAATGCTCCAGCAACGATTACACTGGGCTTTACCTCTTCCAAGATATCAAGTTAGGGTTAGGCTTGCAAAAGGCCAATTTTGTACTGTAAATTTAATGCGTACATTTTTGTTATTATTTCATTCACCTGTTACAAATAATTGTATTTCAATAGTTGGAATGCGAATCACATACTTCAATTTTGAGACTTCATGACTCTTGCTGTCTGTTGCTGATTTTAGAGTTGCACAAACCAGGAACAGTGCCTCAGCAAGAAGGCCGTAATTTGTAATATTTCTGCATGAATGTCTTATAAACTGAACATGTTCTATTGTAATGACATTGATTACTCTGAGAGCTCTCTGCTAACCATACTTCATTCTGGCAAGTTTTTAACTGGGGCCCGTTTCACAATGCCTTTTTTCAATGACAAATTACGAAAATCAGTGACAAATCTGCTGATAACCAGTCAGAAGCAAGGAGTTCAGTAGCTTATAACAGAATCTGTTACTTGTCACTTATGACAAGTTTTGTGAAACACCCCCCCCCCCCCCCCCCTGATGTGTTAATTTTCATGAATCCATCTACCCATAGGACATTCATCCAGGTGACCTGAAGGCTGCAGTGACCAGGGAACTCAACAAGATCCTGGACCCCATCAGGCAGAAGTTCTCCAGTCCAGAGCTCAAGAAACTCACCGCGCAGGCCTACCCTCCACCACCAAAGAAAAGTGAGTTTCCAAAACCACATTGTACCTTTAAGGTCATATCTCAGAACTAAGAGTAGATTCATAGCGTTTTTTCTCAGACTTGCAAATTCAAAGTCTTTTACCTGGAGCATTGTTAAATAGTTTGGGTTGTGAGGCATATACTCTAGCAGCAATTGCTCTACCGTTCATTATCTACACTAACTGATATCTTAATTTCAACACTGGACCAGTCACTGTATGTAAACCCTAACCCTAGACCTTAACCTTGACCTAACCTAAACCACATTGCTACCTTAGCCCTACCCTATGTCATTAATGAAAGAGAGCCTAGAACAATGATCACTGGCCCTGGAGCTATTGTCTGACAATTTTAATTGATTTGAGATTCGGTTGATAGTTTGGATCTAGAATATAGTTCCTTATCATGAAAGCTCAAGATATCTTAATCAGACATCTGCCAGAGGATGACACAACCTTTAACCCTTGACCTTTAATTATGTTTTCCAGAGGGAGGAGCAGCAAAAGGCGGAGCAGGAGGAGGAGCAGCGGCCACTGAAGAGATCATTCCATCAAGGCTAGATCTTAGAGTCGGCAAAATCATCTCGGCAGAAAAGGTACAGTATTTTTGTGTTTCTGCTACTTGACTTCTTACTTAGTGAGCTACGTAAAAAAGAAATATTATCCATAGTTTTTGGATTGGTCCAAGGCATTTGGTCATTTTGTGTGCTATAAATTACCAGGGATTGTGAAGTTCTTAAAGTAGCTGTGCGAAGATTTAAAAACTAACTTTATTTTCATTATTACATTTGAAGTAATGATTATTATCAATTACAAAATGCTTAAATACAGCCCCGGCATAGCACCTGAAGAATTTTCCAAACACTGAATCTGATGGCATGAATAATCGTCTTCAGGGAACATTTATGTGATATTCTTCCAAACTGACATGAACATAAACATAAGCGCCAACACAAAAATAAGCACAATGTGAAGCATAAACCTAAACACAAACACACACACAAACACAAGCACAATATGAAACATAAACACAAACACAAGCACAAACACAAGCACAATCTGAAGAATGAACATAAACATAATCTCATTCTTCTTTGTAATCTATGAAAATATAATGTCTTTGTTGCCAGCATCCAGATGCAGACTCTCTCTACTTGGAGAAGATCGATGTCGGTGAGGAGCAGCCTCGGACGGTCATCAGCGGTCTGGCGGGTGTGGTGCCTCTAGAGGACCTCCCTGACCGCATGGTGGTCATGTTATGTAACCTCAAGCCACAGAAGATGAGGGGGATAGAGTCACAGGCGATGCTCATGTGTGCTTGTTTGTAAGTTATATCTCTTTCAGATATGATGCGGCAAAACTGCTGCAGTTTTTTCTGTCTCATGAATTCTAGTGTAATACATTTCACGTTTCTGTATCTTATAACACAGAGCTCAGTGAATAGGCGCAAGTGGCGTGTTGTGTGCATTCGCCATTCATTTAATACATTAACAAAAAATGTGGCAGCTTTTTGGCGGTGGTTTACTGTGCTATATCTGAACAAGCATTTATTGTGTTTTTCTTTTGTTTATTATGAATTGCATATCAAAAGCTCCCTAACGTGTATAGATTGCATCTTGTATTCATTTATTGCTCCCTTTCCACTTCCCCTTTAACTTTCATCTATTGCTTGTATGATATAACGACCCTTGTTCTCCCCATCCCATTTTCTCCCGTTTTCTCTTTGTTTTCCTTCCATCTCTGTGTCTTCCTATCCTTTCCCTCTCCTCTCCCACTTCTCTCCCCTCTCACTCTTTTCCCTTTGCTCTTCATCTTTCATTTTTAAAATCAATAAACCACATTAAATAATAATAATACAAAATTGATTTGAATGACAGAGAGGACCCTAGACGGGTCGAGCCCCTTAGCCCACCAGAGGGCAGTGCACCAGGCGATCGCGTCTTCTTTGAAGGCTACGAGAACAACACCCCAGACGAAGAACTCAAGCCCAAGAAGAAGGTGTTTGAAAAGATTCAGGTGAGTACATGCTGTAAATAAGATTTATATTAAAATAAATATTTAAAAAATGTAACATTATTGTAAAGTTTTTTTGTCATCAGTTAAAATTACACTCTTAGTATAAAGCTTTCATTAACTGTTCTTCAACCTTCAAAATTTCATTGTAAGATATTCGAATTGAGAATTTTCAAAAAAGATTTAAGAGCCAATCTATGATTCTGATCCATTTTTGCAAAGTGAATTGTTAATGATTTTATGTATGATAAAAAAATACCTTTACAATTTCATCACATATGTGATTCAGTTGGATTTGATTACATCACAGAATTGTTAATTTGTGCACCCTTTCAATACCGAGTTGCCACGCGAGACTGTAACATAAGCAAGGATCCATATAATATTCTCATTTATTCTCATTTTCTTGCTGTCCATGACCAGTTTCACTTGAAGACATCACAGAGTTGCCAATTTGCAATAAGAATCACAACTTACATCCTATAGTTATTAGTTGCCAATTTGCAATTTTGTCTAAGCAAGGATCCATGTAACGATTCTCACTTGTTCTCATTCTTTCTCTGTCCATGATAGGTTTGACATGTTGACATCACAGAGTTGCCAATTTGCAATAAGAATCACAATTTACATCCTATAGTTGCCAAATTGCACTTTTGTATAAGCAAGGATCCATGTAAAGATTCTCACTCCTTCTCATTCTCTCTCTGTCCATGATCAGTTTGAAGTGAAGACATCACAGAGTTGCCAAATTGCACTTTTGTATAAGCAAGGATCCATTCAAGGATTTTTTACTTGTTCTTATTCTTTTTCTACCCATGATCAGGTCGTCTTGTAGACATCACAGAGTTGCCAATTTGCAATAAGAATCATCTATAGTTATTAGTTGCCAATTTGCAATTTTGTAGAAGCAAGGATCCATGTAACGATTCTCACTCGTTCTTATTCTTTCTCTATCCATGATCAGGTTGACCTGAAGACATCTGAAGATGGAACAGCTCAATGGCAAGACAAACCTTTCCAGACCAAGCTAGGCGTCATCAAAGCGCCTACACTCAAGAAAGCTTCAATACGTTAAAATGTTCTCTCTCTCTCTCTCTACATTCTAACATTCTCTCTATTACATTTCTTAGCATTGAAGATACCGTCAAACCTGTCTATAGTGACCGCCCAAGGGAAACACAAAAAGTGGCCTTTGTAGACAGGTGGTCTTTGTAGACAGGTTCCTTTAGTACATTATTCAATGAGAAACCATTTTCAAGGGAAACAACAAATTTGGCCTTTGTAGACAGGTGGTCACTAAAGCAGGTTTGACTGTATTATATTTCTTTGCATTAAAGATATATACATGTACAGATAAGGCATACAAGTTATCGTATGTACATAGGTATCAAAGGGAGGGTGGATAATTCCTACTTATGTACGCACTAATGTTTGTTTACCAGTATGTCATTTGTAAGCGGCAACTAGCAAACATGCCAATCATGTCACGCAAAGTGCAAAAAAACAAAATATTGACTAGCAAAGACTTGTTATTGACAGAAATTGCTCCTACATCGAGTTATAGGGTCTTTATGATATGAAAAGAAAACACATGGGCAAATAATGGAAGGTTTTCACATTCCACAATGAGAAATTTCTCTTTCTGTGGCTAAACATAGAAAGTATAGCTTGAAAATCGCTTTTCTTTTCTTTTAAGATATTTTTATCTTCTGTCTGTCTTTTTGAACTGTATTCACCGTAATGGATGATTCATATCATTTATGAAAGGATGTTTTGAAATACAAAAATATTTGTTACCAGTGATGAAAATTTACTTTGAGGAGTTGCAAACTGTGTAATGTCTATTCCATTTTTTTTTCCAGGAATTAAAACTGGCAATTAATGATACTAATAAAGTACATTTACTTAAAATAAATATGTGCTAGATTTGTACATGGGTTTTCTAGAAACATGTTGTAGTTTGCCAAATATCAGGGGCAGATCCAGGCACAATACAAACAAATAAAATAATATTAAGAGGTCTAATTTTTGTGTTGTGTACTTGGATGTATTTCAAGTGGGTTCCAGGAGATGGGACATGGACCGATTGTGCCCTATTAAATTGCTTCCGCCCTTGGGCAGAATTATTTTTATCTCCTGTTCATAGTGTGCTAAAAGCACAAGATTTCAGAAAATAGGACACCCCAAACAAGTTATTTTCACTAGCCGTGCAATATTGAAAGGTGAAAATACTGTAGCTGAAGTCTAGTCTCGTTAATAAGTTCTTAATTTCTTCATTTTGTCTCTTTTGGTTAAGGTCTACAATATTTCTTTTAACTACATTGTACATCTTAGGGTAAACGTGAGACTGTTTCATTAATTCATGTCATGTTTGTCTACAACAGAAGCAGGCAGATTTAATCATGTCTGTAATAAAAGTCTTTTAAAATAATGTCAACTCGTTATGCTTGGTTACTTGTGTTCTTTCCCCTAAAGTGTTTGTCTCATCTGCAAATTTCCAATGTTGTGCTTGTTTCTTTCAAAACTGCCATATCTTTCTCACTCACTCCTCAGTTCCTTTTCTACCCCCTCCCTTTTCAAACTATTTCCCCTCTCTTCTCTCTTCCTTTTTTGTTCTCTATGCTTTCTCATTCTTTTCCACTCTCCATTCATTTTCCATGCTGCTCACAGTCAGTATGCTGCAAATAAATTCCACCTGTATGATGAGGTTGATTGGTTGTAAATGAGAATCATATGTACACACACACACTCACACACGCACTGTTGATAATACATGACAATTCAATACAGAACACACAAATATTTCAATACATCTTTTTATAGTGTTATATAAATCTTGATTAATGAATATACATTTAGTGAATCAATGCTTTTTACAAAGGAAAAAAGGAAGGTATATCTTTATTTTAACAAGTTAGTTTGATAACAATTTCTCATGATTGCAGACCAGGGTCCGGGTGATAGAATAAAGAGGTAACAAAACCTAGAGAATCTGCATGGACAAGCTACGATGTTTTAATCCTTTGTTTCTTAAAGCAGGACTGCACTACTTGTAGCTACTTGGGTCCTCTAAATAGCAAACAATGTCAAAGTGGTACCCGTTGGTCCCCCATGAACCCCTTTTTCTTATGTTAATTGAGAGCTGATTTGATGACATAGCCACCTGTTGGTGACCATGCAGGGAGGTCTAATCCCTCCTAGCCAACTAGTGAAGAGAGGCTTCAATGGATCTTTTTTATTAGGCTATATTCTGAATATTACCAAACATCCCTGTGGCATAGTGGTCCATTCTCTCGACTCTCAATCCACATTTTGGGGGTTTGAATCCCAGCTCGGCACTAACGTCTTTGGGCAATGCATGGATCCACATTTGCCACTCTCCACCCAGGTGTAAATGGGTACCCGACAATCACCAGGACAATAATAATTACAGGGATCTCAAGAAGAACGGCATCGATGCTGATTAGGCTTCATTAGGTGAACAAACTTATTATTATTTGTTTGCCATCTATTTTATGTATTTATCGTTATTCCTTCCAGATACCGTAATTGGAAAAAATCTAAGAATCAAATCTACCCGGGATGAACTACAAATGAACTCAAATTCTATGAAGACATCCATGAAAATTGTTTTTGGTATATGACAAAGCTTTCTTAAAATCCAAAATAATTACAAGTACATCTATTTTTAAATTCATAAATGCTACAAAAGCACTTTCGATGAATTTGCTAACAGGTTGACACTTGAAGAGTACAAATGTATATATTACTACATTTCAAATACGATTTGAATTATTTGTCAGTTACAGAAATCATTTCACATACAGGTAACCGAATGAGACTGCCTATTCCTACACGAGTTAAAAAAGAAAATAAGAAAAAGTCTTCACTATCTGTCTACCCAAATAAAACAAATATAAAGAAGAAGAGGTATAATAAATCTTACTGGTGGAACAGCAAGACATACCAGTAGTCCATTTTCAATAATATCTTGATCAAATACATGTACTACAAAACTTGAACAATTATGTTAGGGTCAATTACAAATGGACTACATTGTATTTGGTCATATGTGACGTCGGTGGTGCAAGTAATACAAGAATTAATAAAAAGCTGAGAAGTTCTTCTTTCATTTTAAGCTACAAATAAATAAGTAAATTAGCTATTAATCCTGGAAAACCTTTATTTTGGTACACACTTTAGTGCATTGTTATCAGACCAAATGCATGGATCTTCAGCCCCCAATGGCTTGCAAACTTTGAGACTTGGCTGAAATTTTTGTCATTCATGCAAGGATTTCCAGCGGAGAAACACCTTGTAGCAATCATTTATTTAAGATGTCAGCTTGTATAGTTAATTTGAGATAGAAACTTGTCCACATCCAGATTGACTGGAAATCCAAGGTCTTTGGAATTCTTCGACTTGCTTCGCTTTGTCTTCTTGACGCCCTGTAGCAATGAATGACAGAGAGAATAAAGAAGAAAATGATTATATGAGGGAAACATATGTGTAAGGAAAGGGGGGGGGGGGGAGGGGAAGAGAGACAGTTAGAGAAATGAAGAGGGGGGGGGGGGGACAGACACTGACATATATATACTTTAGCAACCACCTGTCTACAAAGCACACATTTTTTTGTGTATTAAAGGAACCTGTCTACAAAAACTGTACATGTAATTAATTTGCTATAGATAAATCAAACAGTTAAAAGACTGTCATTCTAACTCAATCAAATCAATTCCAGTTATGATGACTGTGCTCGTTAAAACAAGTATGATAACTGCTCATTCTGTATAAGTTTATCAAGCTATTTCCACGTTTACATTCTTGTTTGTCAATGACTTATTCTTCTTGAATTACATGAATCCTGCACCTTTCCAACATTCATAAAATGTATTTCTTACTTTTGCCTTGTCAGGATCTTTCCTATCTCTCTTGACTCCTTTCTTCACTGCTTTGGTTCCTTTGTCCTGAGGGACCTCCTTGAAGGCCACTGTCTTGCCCCCCTCCACCAGGCCCTTCGGCTGAATCCCCTCACTCTCATGGGGCTGAGAGGCCAGTGAAACGGTCTTCACACCTCCGATACTATGAGGGGATTGTCCAGTTCTTGAGTGTCCTGGAAGGTCACTTGACCTGACACCATTGACCTGATCAACAGCAGGGATGACCCTTTGCTCTATGTTTATCCTTTCTTTCTGGAATCCAGAGACACTGGTAACTGGTGGATGGCGGCTAGTACCCCCTGTCCTTGCACGCTTCACGATCACCACCTTCTTGCCATCAATGACAACCGATTGTTTTGACGCAACTGCGTTCTCTTTTGTGGGGGTCGTTGGCAGTTTGGTCAGTAACCGAGCCACCGCTTTTTCCTCTGGAGAATACAGTCTCTCTGGTGTTCGAGCAATTGGTCTCTTGGATGGTGTTATTTCATTGTTGTGCTGCATCCGGGGAGACTGTGACCCTTTCCTCGTAGCTTTCCTTCTTGAAGGTGTAACCTGAGATGTTGACGCTGCTGCACCAGTCTCGTGTGACTTGTCCTGGTGTCCCTTGACAGGGCTCAGGTCCTTGAGAAATGAGAGCTCTCTGACATGACCTTTTGGAAAGAGGTCCGCAAGAGAGCCTAATGTCATGCCCGAGGACTTGACCTTGGATGACCTTCCTTCATTAGTACTTGCATTTTTCTTGGCAGAGTTCACCCTCGACAGTGCCGTCGACGAACATGCAGCTTCTTCCCTGAACGGACTATTTCTGACAACCATATTAGGGAACGAATCACGTCCCCTTGATAGCCCTTCAAGTTCCTCGCTTAGGAATATCCTATCTTGATTGGTGGATGACATGCCTATGACCTCTGAACTATGACCTGTTGAAGACCCCATGACCTGTATGTCCCTGTTTCTTCCTTGGCTGATGATGGTCACTGTACTTGCTTGCGGTGAACTAGTCAAGATGGATTGTTGGGGCTGATGTTGGCTCGTGTGACTAGGAGGGAGCAATGAGGCTTGCTGTTCGGACGAGTCAACTTCAGATTCTCTGGAAGAGTTCAGATGCTCTAAAGAATAAAGCAAACAAATATGAAGGACTTAAACCTCCAGATTTTTATAAGGAAGATTACCACACATGCATAGCATTTGCATTAAACTTTTACCGTAATTATTGACAAGCAGGCTGAGAAGTGAAGCAAAGAATGCACATACACTGTATATTGACCTGTGGATTAAGAGAGTGAGTGCTAAATTGTCCCCATCCCTGCAAAAAACAATTCCGAACTGGTGCATGATATCATTTGTATTAATATGAAGCATGGTGACACCAGAAATAAAATACTAAGGGCAAATTCTCCAAGAGGGGTGAAAACACGGATAACAAGTACAGTCAAACCTGCTTTAGTGACCACCTGTCTACAACAAGCACATTTGTTGTTTCCCTTAAAAATGGTTTCACATTGAAACATGTACTAAAGGAACCCGTCTACAAAGACCACTTTTTGTGTTTCCCTTGGGCGGTCGCTATAGACAGGTTTGACTGTATGTCGATGCATAATTTCAATCTACAAACTAACTCTGGTCCTGCAACACCACATCTTGTGATCCTGCAGGCCATGTTTCAATCAACCTGCACCAAGGTTTGATAAAGTCCTGCGTAAGAAGCATGCCTGTCACAAATGCCTACCCTCGACTTCCGATGCACTGAGCTGGAGCTTCTGCCTTTCGCTGTTCAGGAACTTGTCCCTGTCGGTGTTGAAAAGCGCAAAGAGGGAGTTGAAAGTCGGGTCGCCGCTCGTCATGTCGACGAACTCTTCCATCATGGAGTCAGAGACCATCCCATTGAGGAGTTCGTCCAGAACCTGGATGTTGCTCCCAGATTGTTGACTCTCCTCTGTTTCGGTGCTGAGGTTGGCCTGGTCAGGAGCTTCTGGGTGATCAGCAGGTTCTTCTTGACCAGGAATTTCTCTGTGTCAATAAGAAAGAATAAACAGGTTGACCGATTGATAAATATCTTACCCTCTTATCCCTGCCTCTTTTCTCTAATGATAAAACAAATCATACTTGGACTTGGAAATGAAATTCTTTTAAGTCACGTGTGTGTGTGTGTATTGGGTTTTTACAGACGTGTATCAATCAGATATAATCATGTCACTACATCAGGATGTAGTGAAGAAATGTGCATTTCTTATATAGTTTGAAGAGTCTTATTATGAGACTACCAGTGTCTTAATATGCCTACCAGCATATCTTGGGGGCTATTGTTTACTTTAAGATTATACTACTAGTCACAGAGACAGGAAGTTCTTTGTTCTTCTCCACCTATGTTCTGGGAGAAGCAAACCCCAGTCATTCTGAATGTTGAAGTGATGCAGTAAGGTCCGAGTTACATAACATTGCAGCAGAAAGTTTTTAGTTATTTTGTGGAACAAACTACAGGCCCAATTCGGTAAGAATACGATATCTATTTCTATATATGTTATTTGATATATACTAGAATGCTAGGATGTATCTTAATATAATCTCAGTTGAGTTTGGTAGAATTTTATAGGAGTTTCGTAAAGATGATGTTAGATGTTGTACCTAGCTTTTAGGAGTAGACAAAGAGATGAGTGTGTATAATGTATAGTGTAGAAAGCCGAGTTCTTTGTCTTTGTCAGAAGAAGTTACAGTACATTTTAGTGTTTCAAAGTAGCATATATTCTGCTACTATGTAGATGATAACTTGTTTGTTATATATATAGTTCATGTCGAATTTAGAGCAAAACTAAGTGTTTATAGGAAAGAAACAATTTTCTTTGTTAGTTTAGCATAGGAACTTAAGTGACGAACCGCGTCTGAATGCGGCCCTGTTCACACTCATGTACCTTTGCTTGTGTGTACTGTTTAATAGTTTACTGCATAGTCTCAATGCAGGGTGTGTTCACATAGATATTTAATCCAGTTTAACTTTAATCTTGTGTCATATATTAATGTGTTGTAATCAGTATCTTTAATTTAGCTATAGGGTTTTTATATGCTAACATGCTGAAACATTTATTCATTATTTGTTTGTTTGTTTATTATCATTACAGATTGTTATCTGAAGGTTTACCGGAGATAGTATTTAACCTGAAGGTTGTACCGAAGATATGAAAGTGAAGTTACGAGTTGCTGAATAAAAAAGAAGTTGGTTGGACTTTAGCAAATTGTTTCCAGTGTTAATTTTCATCGGTGTGCCTTGTGAATAACAACAGTTGGATTTTATTGTTAGACGAAACTCCTTCATATAAAGATTTATGAAGGCAGCCACAATAACAATCGAAGTCTGTTATTCGAAGTCGAATAACAAGCGAAGTTCCACAATAACGAATGAAGTTCGAATGACAAACGAACATCAATTATAAGACTTTTTGCAGCCGTTTAATGAACTTGTAAGCAGACCTAGGTTTATAAAGGCCTGAAGTCATGCCTTTATCAGAGCCTGTATTGCAACGTGAAACGACGACAGAGAGGAATCCCACATCGAAGGCTAGAAGTCTAGCTGGTGTTAAGTTCACCAAGAGCGATGTGGAAGCAGGACAATGTGATGCAGTCATCACCAAGGCTACAAGTGTAGCGAACTCACGGATGTCTCTTGAGAGTGCGAGGTTAGAACTAGCTATCATGGACCAGGAGGACAGGCTTGATGCTCTAAAGGTTGAGCAAGAGCTAATTGCTAGGAGAGTCCGGAATGAGAAACGAAAGCTAATACAGCTGAAGCTGAGTCTGCTGAGAAAGAAGTCGGCTGACAGAAGAAATAGATTAGAAAGAGAGGAAGAGAGTGACGGCTCTGAAGCTGTCATCGAACATGTCAAATTGCCAAAGGAACAGCCAGGGGATTCCATCCATAGATTGGCAGTTGGCGCAGCAACTTCTATTCTTGATAGAACTCCTAAACAGACAGGGTTTGAAACGATGGCAGAGTCCATGGCCCATGTGCAACAAAACGTGCTAACGCAGAGACTTGCTGTTGCGAGTCAACCTCCAAAGTTGGAGATACCGGTATTTAGCGGCGTTGCTGACGGTCATCGAGCCAAGGACTGCACTGAGAGGAAGGTTTGCAAGATTTGTGAAGGGCGTCCCCTTGCCTGTCTGCATAAGCCAACCGAAAACCAGATAAATCCACCCGAGGAAGCCGCATCAAAGTACACCAATGTCTGCGCTCCTCAAGACCAAGATGAACAGGAGCACTGTATGATTGTGCCAGACTGGGTGAGGTGCAAGGATGATCAAAGTAATGTAGGCTTCGTTTCGGACGAACTGTGTGAGCAGTTAGGAGTACAGGGAACTGATACTACCGTCAGGCTCACCACCATGCACGCAACGGCCAATGTCAGGAGCATGAAGTTGAGCGGTTTACAAGTGTTGGACTTCAATAGGGAAAACGAGATTGACCTACCCCCGTGCTTCTCTAGAGAGTCTATTCCAGGTATCAGAACCCAGATCCCAAGGAGTGAAGGCTTGAAGGAATGGCCTCATCTTGAGCCAGTTGCTCATGAGTTGATGCCATACAACAGGAGCGTCAAGGTATCGCTCTTAAATGGAAATAACTGTCCCCGAGCCATCCGCCCTCGAGAGGTGATAGCAGGAGGAGAAGATGACCCGTATGTCATTAAGACAGCACTTGGATGGGGAGTAGTTGGCAATGTCTGCCAGACGTCGGTGCAGGAGGATGGTGTTCAGATCTGCAATAGGATATCTGCAATTGAGATGCAGCCAGAGTTTGCCTATGAGAGTAAGGCCAAGGAGATCATGGACACTGAGAAAAGCATCCAGTTTCCGAAAGATGGCTTCAAGGACTTAACTGCAGATGGTGAGCGGTACTCCGTGGAGGAGATGGAATTCAAGGAGATCTTGGAGAGTGGTGCCCGCAGATGTGACAACGGCCACTATGAGATGCCATTACCTCCGAAGTCTGCAAAGCCAAACCTTTCCTTCAACAAGCCACTTCCCTTGAAGAGATGGAAGCAGCTGCCTGGGAGGTTGCGGAAGAACCCAAAGTTTGGTGGAGACTACAGAGCATTCATGGATGACATCATCCAGAATTATGCACCGAGAGTATCTCCAGCAGTTACAGCCATGTCAGAAGTGGACGCGAATGCAGCGAGACCTGGCCATCAGCGATATAGTCATCGTGAAGGAGACTGCAGACATCCGCCTCCAGTGGCCTCTAGCAAGAGTAGCAGAGGTTTTCCTAGTCAAGACGGACGCGTTAGAAAGGTAAAGCTCCTCATGGTTGATGGAGCGCTGGACAGTAATGGTCAACGTCTGAAGAAACCTTGTTACCTTGATAGACCTGTCCACAAACTCGTGTTACTACTGCCGGTAGAAGCTTAGAATAATTAGTTCTGTTGTTAATAACAGAGGTGTAAGACTAATTGTGATCAGTCATTTTCTTTCTATTTCTCTTTCTTTCACAATCACTTTCTCACTTTCTCACTCATTCCCTCTTTCTAGATTTCTACCTTTATCTGAGTTTCATGACTTTTACGTTTCTTGTTGTCTTATCTTATATTTGCAAACAAGTTTTGTCATTATCACGCAGAAGACAGTATAGGGATTCCCCCTCAAGGAGCCTTTATCTTATTGTCGTATATTTTTCTGATGTCAGAAGTGTCTTCATTTAATATTTCTCCTCATTCGCACATTATGTAGCTATGTGGTTATTAATGAAAGGTGTTGATTAAGTTTACTTCGTATACATGTTAGTTACATGTCAGGTGTATTACACTTATTTTGATTGATTACCAATCAAGCAGTATTTGGAGCATTGATGGGTAAAGTTGATTTCTCTCATGAATGTTACATGAAAGATCGTTAGAGGTTAATGTTGTTCCTTGGTAGTAATAGTAGTGCAGTATGTCTATCTATGTTTTAGCGTAGTCTTAGATTTGGATAATAACAGTTATTTTAGTAAATGTTACTAACATTTAAAGGAGCCATGTCACTACATCAGGATGTAGTGAAGAAATGTGCATTTCTTATATAGTTTGAAGAGTCTTATTATGAGACTACCAGTGTCTTAATATGCCTACCAGCATATCTTGGGGGCTATTGTTTACTTTAAGATTATACTACTAGTCACAGAGACAGGAAGTTCTTTGTTCTTCTCCACCTATGTTCTGGGAGAAGCAAACCCCAGTCATTCTGAATGTTGAAGTGATGCAGTAAGGTCCGAGTTACATAACATTGCAGCAGAAAGTTTTTAGTTATTTTGTGGAACAAACTACAGGCCCAATTCGGTAAGAATACGATATCTATTTCTATATATGTTATTTGATATATACTAGAATGCTAGGATGTATCTTAATATAATCTCAGTTGAGTTTGGTAGAATTTTATAGGAGTTTCGTAAAGATGATGTTAGATGTTGTACCTAGCTTTTAGGAGTAGACAAAGAGATGAGTGTGTATAATGTATAGTGTAGAAAGCCGAGTTCTTTGTCTTTGTCAGAAGAAGTTACAGTACATTTTAGTGTTTCAAAGTAGCATATATTCTGCTACTATGTAGATGATAACTTGTTTGTTATATATATAGTTCATGTCGAATTTAGAGCAAAACTAAGTGTTTATAGGAAAGAAACAATTTTCTTTGTTAGTTTAGCATAGGAACTTAAGTGACGAACCGCGTCTGAATGCGGCCCTGTTCACACTCATGTACCTTTACTTGTGTGTACTGTTTAATAGTTTACTGCATAGTCTCAATGCAGGGTGTGTTCACATAGATATTTAATCCAGTTTAACTTTAATCTTGTGTCATATATTAATGTGTTGTAATCAGTATCTTTAATTTAGCTATAGGGTTTTTATATGCTAACATGCTGAAACATTTATTCATTATTTGTTTGTTTGTTTATTATCATTACAGATTGTTATCTGAAGGTTTACCGGAGATAGTATTTAACCTGAAGGTTGTACCGAAGATATGAAAGTGAAGTTACGAGTTGCTGAATAAAACAGAAGTTGGTTGGACTTTAGCAAATTGTTTCCAGTGTTAATTTTCATCGGTGTGCCTTGTGAATAACAACAGTTGGATTTTATTGTTAGACGAAACTCCTTCATATAAAGATTTATGAAGGCAGCCACAAATCATTTACGTCTGGGGACTGACCTTTAAACCTCACCATCCAAAAGACGTGACTCAGTTTCGAACCTGCGTCCTCGGCTGAATCAGTTTGTAACTTCCATTGTTAGCTGGATTACAGGCGCACGCCACAACATCTACATTTATGAGAACTTAAGGGCGTGCACAAGCTGCTCCAATCACACCGACGTTCACTTCCCATCGGGTACCCATTTAACACCTGGGTGGAGAGAAGCATTGTAGATAAAATACCTTGCTCACAGACATAAGAGTCAACCATAAATGTCATAAACTCACTGAGTTGGTCGAACCTTGTTGATGTTTTCCGCCAGTTTCTCCATCAGTTCCTGGTTGTTGCAGAGTGACCCCCAGGGGGACGGTAGGTCCTGTATCTCATCTATAGGGGTGACCCCTGCACTGGTGGATGGGGCGCTACTGATGACCCTCTCCCGGGGCACTCCTGGGTGGGGTTTGCGTCTGGGTAGAGCACTGCATAATTATAGATAGGATTGAAAAAATTATTTGTACTACAAAATCGGAGAATCGCGTTGACAAGAGCCATACTTAAGCTTTTCGTTTTGCACTCATCAGAGTAAAACGCAAGAAGGATAGATAGGATTATAGGAATTTTGCAGCACAACATCACATGAAGTTTGCAAGAATAGAACAAACCCAGTCATTAGTAGCATCCTGCATTAATACACAAAAAAATTACAGTTGGACAGTCTGCAATAATACCCTTTTGCTTGTTGATATAAAGTAAACAGAAAAGTAGAAAGACCCAAGAAGAGGTTGAGTTGTTACGTGATTCATAATCATAAAATACATTTTCTCTCTCAGAGTCTAACCTACCAATATAACCAAACAATTTAGTTGCACATGTTATCTTCATTTTATCTCCTGAGTCATTCTATTAATTTTTTATTTCTTTTAATTGGAAAAAAAAAAAATCATATTTGACATCATACTGACCTTTTTCTCTTTGGTGATTTTCCAATCTTCTCTTCTCCCTCTGGTCTGTCATGCTGAGAGCTTTTAGTGGGGGTCACAAACTGTGACTGAGTACCTGCAATTGGATATGACATTTTTCAATTCCCGCTATTGCCTGTACCCTCAAATGCCCAAACAGCTGAGTGAGCTTGGATTAGTTTGAACCCCAGCACAGACAGAGATAGCCTCCATTCTTGGCACATTTCATTTATTTATCAAAAATTCATCAGGAATGAGTGATTGAGTGGATCATCAAATGATACAATAATCAACAATACCTGTCACCCTGCCCAACCAAGCCCACACTGGCTTGAAACTGACCTGGGCATCGTTTCACGAAACCATCTTAAGTGCAAGTTTCCCGACATCCCATTAAGACACACATTAAATTTGATGCACACATTGCAATGTGATGTCGGCAAACTTGTAGTTATGACGGTTTCTAAAAAAAACACTGCCCTGATTCTTTCCCACAGGTGCTGTTACGTTACTGTATGGTCTGTTGTCAATCTGGTGTCGGTCTTGTTAGGATTAAATGAGGTATTAATCCAATTGCTGTTTTGCTGCCAGAACTAATTGGTATCTCAAAAGTCAATGAGATGAATAACATTTTTGATAAGCTGTAGATAAGTTTTTAAGAGTCGCTGCCTGGCAAGCAGTACATGGCAGGCTCAAATTCTGCTGGTTCCAAGATTTTTCTGAGTTGTTTTCAATTACAAGATCGAGAACATAATCTTTATTTACTGGGTGCAAGCCAAAAACTTCTTTACAAAAAAATTGCATTTAAAGGTATAGACTAGTTTGGGAAGGAAATGCCCCCCTCTCAAAAATGAAATGGAAGCTCTTATTACCAATCATGTGAAAGAATATGTTTTGACTAATACATGATGATACAAATTTGCCGGGAAACGGCCTACTAATTGATATATTTGGTAAATTATCATATCGATCCGGCCTGAATAGATATCGCAATGCACTTTAACATTGAACATTTGGGCATACATCTCTGCCTTTTTTTGCGAATTTAGGTTGAAGTATTGTCATCTAAACCTGTATAGGCGACATTTAAACAATATTGAATGGATATGTTGCACCCAAAACCCTTGAACCGCAATTTTACCACTACCGGTTTATATCTGTTTATATATAGTGTTACGGCTAGTTAGAATTGCATCACTCAGTATAATGACAGAAGTGAGTTGACTCTTACTCGTTACACTCTGTGAAGGAGATGTCGACAGGGCCTCCTGCACCATGGGTGACCTCAACCTAGGTGTGGAACACCTGGTATCACATGACCTCTCTCGGCTCTCCTGATTGGTCGGGAATGATGGAGAAGGCACCATCAGAGGGCGGGTGTCGGGCTCGATATTATGAGGTTGCGGCCGACGGAAAGGAGAGTTTTGACGGTGGCGTTGTACATGTTTTGGCTGGTGGTGAGTCTGCTGCTGCTGCTGATGCTGAGGTTGATGTTGAGGTTGATGGTGTTGATGTAGCTGTTGTACGAGACCACTGGAATTGACCAGACGAAGGGCATTTTCCCGTTCCATCTGCATGCGTTCATGGTGGAGTCGATTGAGACTGTAGCGACTTCTCACTGAAAACAATAGATGTATGCTGATTAAAAGGCCGATATTAGAACACATAGAATTAATTTGGCAGAACCATAACCAAGAATTCAACTCCATATGAATCTAAATTGGTTAGCCTTCAAAAAAATCTTGGCATCTGAAAAAAATACATTTTTCAGACAGGGGTTGCAATAATTATATCCGAGGTGCATGTATGACTTAACTTTTTTTTAGGGAAAAGAGAAATTTCTGAATTTTTTAGTACAGACCAAATGTATATGACAACTTGGCTAAAGTTAGGATAGTGTGCATTAAAACAACAATTAAAATCTACTAAAAAAGTATTTTAATGATATTTTCCTTAATACAGAACCAGGAAAAATACTATGGTCCTAATGGAAAGGTGACTTTGATGTTTTTTTGAGGATGTAGACAAATTACCTGATTGGCTTGCTAGTTCATTTGACAGTGTTGTAATGGCCCCACTGCCTTTGTAATGATGTCTGTTGGAAAGAAGAAGAAAAGTTAGATTAACTCATCAGCAAATCAATTAATTTGAGATATTTGCATTCTACTTTGTAGAGGTATATAATACTATATATATATATATATATATATATATATATATATATATATATATATATACGTTAGAACACATTAAAAATCCAAGATAACTAGATGGAACTTCGACTGCGCGCAGTCGAAAATGATGCCTCCGTCATAGAGCAATTTTACAAACCAAAACAGAAGAAATTTTTCAAATTCAAGTTCAATTGTAATCCATTAACAGGTTTTCAGAATATTGTGATTACAAGCTATTTTTGCATACATAATGAGCCCATGACCTTTGACCTTATGAACCAAGAATCTACTCAGTTCATTGGCTCTGCAAGAAACATACATGACCTAAGTTGGCAGGAATCCATCAATCGGTTCTTGAGATAACGCGATCACGAGCTGTTTTTGCATACATAATGTGCCCTGTGATCTTTGAACTTTGACCTTGTGACCCCTACATCTAATCAGTTCATCGGCTCTGCAAGTAACATACATGACCTAAGTTTGGCAGCAATCCATCAATCGGTTCTTCAGATAACGCGATCACAAGCTCGTTTTGCATACATAATGAGCCCTGTGGCCTTTGACCTTTGACCTCGTGACCTCAAAATCTAATCAGTTTTTTGGCTTTGCAAGTAACATACATGACCTAAGTTTGGCAGCAATCCATCAATCGGTTCTTCAGATAATGCGATCACGAGCTCGTTTTGCATACATAATGAGCCCTGTGACCTTTGACCTTTGACCTCGTGACCCCAAAATCTAATCAGTTCATCGGCTCTACAAGATACATACATGACCAAAGTTTGGCAGGAATCCATCAACCAGTTCTTCAGATAACGCGATCACGAGCTCGTTTTGCATACATAATGAGCCCTGTGACCTTTGACCTTTGACCTCGTAACCCCAAAATCTAATCAGTTCATCGGCTCTACAAGATACATACATGACCAAAGTTTGGCAGGAATCCATCAACCAGTTCTTCAGATAACGCGATCACGAGAACGGGACGTACGTACGTACAGACGTACGTACGTACGTACGTACGGACGTACGGACGGACGGACAACCCGAAAACATAATGCCTCCGGCTACTTCGTAACGGAGGCATAAAAACCATATGAGCATACAATTTAAAAGGCTATGATGTACATTACTAGTATTTTTAATTATTATCATTATTAGTATAGTAGTAGCGTTATCATCATTTTCCTCCTCCTCCTACTTCTTCTTATATTATCATTATTATCTTGAAGAACTAAAGCCAACAGCAAATGTTAGGTCACCCAGGAAACGTTATCTGCACATGGTTACTGGTTTAGATACATACTTGATTTGCACCAGGAGAGCATCAAATCTCTTCCACAGCTTGTAAAGAGCATCATTGGCATTCTTGACTTTACTTGTATCTGGAAAACAAAAGAAGAGTAATGCTATCAGATAATAATGTACACTGCACACTACATTTGTATAGATTGTAAGTTCTAACTACAATCCAATTTTTAAAGAATATGACATACATGTAGCATTTGGTACAAACATTTGAACATGTAAAATCTTAATGAAAGAGAATCCGAGTAGTCCGAGTATGATCAAGAAAATCTAAATATCAAAGATTTTCATGTTACCTTGGAAGAGGGCATAAAATATCAGCTAAGAATCGTAGTGACATCAGACCAGTACTGAAATTGTCTACGATTTGAAGCTGATTCTGCTTTTATCATTATGACTAGCAGAGTTCTAATTAGAACTACAGTTCTTAGTATTCTTATCATTATTTGGAAGCTAACTTGGAAATATGATGTTTTTTTAGATTCTAGTACAATTGCAATTTCTTCGAAAATTGGATTGCAGGACGATCGTGTAGTGTGCGGTGGGCTAAAGGGATGATTTTTGTTGGGGGGGGGGGGGGAGAGTAATGGGTGAAGGAAATTTACCCACAATGCAAACAACAGACTAATATCTTTTAACTCACCTTGTGACATCAGCTCATAGTACTCTTCAACGATCACTTGTAAACTCTTTGCTCCAAGAGGCTGTATATACAGAGAAAAGGGTGATGAGATGAAAAGAGATGATTAATACAGGGAGGATTAACCTTTGTCCTACGTTTATACACCACGTAATGTACAATTGTTGACTAATGGTATTTCAAAATCATTATTCACAACAGGTGAATGAAATAATTTGTAACAGGGTACTTAAATACTTGTGCATTAAATTTGATTATATTACAAAAATTGCCTATTAAAGCTACCGGTTGTCATTACTCATAAAAAGTTTGAGAATCGTTTTATGTGTTGAATAAACTCATCAATGCAATTTGTTCAATCTTTATAAGATTCAACAAGTGAATTTGAAAACTGTTGTCACCAACTTCCTTCTACATGAGGAAAAGTGGGATGGGGAGGGGGGAGGGGGGGGGGGGTGAGGGGAGATATATATGCATCAAAAGGAATCGGTATAATAATGTAACTACCCATTTGTGGAGACTGTGCTATATTTATTTCTCTTATATCCCGAGGTTTGTTCATCGGTACATTAGAGGTAACCTCTCTCTCTATTTATACATAAATCAGGCTACCTGTCAAAGAGATTGCAATATTTTTCTTTCTTTTGCAAACATGAACATACAGGTCTGACTGTAATATACTAAACACAAGGTAAACTTAACTATTCAAGATTTATTTCTTTCTTTCCACTGACATGAAAACAATACATTTTTGAACAGTAATAAAACAACAAGTTTATCGTCAACAAGAATAAATTCATGCACAATAACAAGAAAGTTATAAAGACATTGAAAATGTGGAAAAGAGGTGGCTTGTACAAAAGCACAGCATGTTAAACACAGATTACCTTTACAAGAACAAGAACAAAAGAGATTTTAAAAGAAGATTTACATTGAGAAAAGGAAAGTTTGTTTCATGTGGAATGAACCTCTTCTTTTTTCTTCCCTCCATCACATTCAATAGAACAAGTTTGTTATCTCTATTGTTGGCAAGGATGGTTTGAGGACCCCTATTAACAAAAAAACAAAAAAAATGGAGGGGGGGGGGGGGGGGGGGGAGTGTCCCATTCCCAAAAGCATGCTTGATGATTACAAAAACGAGGTCATTAAGGTCATTGAGCATTAAAAGGAAAAGTCCAATGCCTGAAAAATGTTTACCAAAAACTAAGTTATATAAGAATTACTTATTATTTGTTTACACCCAGGAGTATATAGCAAGACAAAGAAGGGGGGGGGGAAGGGGGGCAGGAGCCAATAAGATCCGCCCCTGTTACCATGCCTCCAGTACGTGCTAGTCTTACCAGTATACCCATGGCAGGGAAGCTACGCAGTTCCTCCAGATGAGGACTCTCCTGCAGGAACACATCATAGGTCTCCTGGAGGCCCTCAGAGTAGAGGTAATCTGGAAACATGGAAAGGAAAACCTTCATGCATTTATTCATTTATTGCAGTGTCATCTTTAGCGACTTAAACATGTTTGCAATAAATAAGAATACGTACAATTTTACAAATGTTAGGTGCATATTCATTTCAAGAAACTTTCTCAGTCTTAAGTTATGACATACGATTGATATACTTATTAGTTTAATTGATTTGTGCCCTTTTTTACCCTGACATTTCAACATCTAATCCTTCCTGTACTTTTTTTATTGGCATGCGCCATTGACTTTTACATTAGATCTAGACCTGATCATTATCTTTGATTTATAATTCTGTATGTTTTGCTTTGTCAATTAACAATTTCAGCCTAGTTTGGCTTTGTACTACGTAGTGTATGTTCAGTATTTTCAAAACACGGCCATTAATTTACCACTCAAACTCCAAGCTCCCCACGAGCTGCACCGCCACCGGTCACATTCATGCTACGCCCCCGGTACTTACCCAGCACAAGACGTGCAAGATCCGAAGGAAGAGCTCTCACGTTCACCATTTTTCAATATCAATCTGGTGTTAATGAATACCCTGTCCTGTTTTAAAAATATGACATAATGACGCCTTCAATACAGCTTTAGATGAAGATCGTCAATTAAAACGATGAAAAAAGCGTGACGGTGTGTAACTACCGAATTTCAGAGTTTGTTTATGTTTTAAGTTATCGCGGCTTTTGGAGCAATTGCGCGAAACACTCTGCCATGCACTTCCGGTAGAGGTCATACTGTCTGACCCTCACGTTATGTTATGCAATCACAGTTGTTACGTCGGACGTCGGTGGGATTTATACCAAATTTACTGTTAAGTTATGGCTGTATACCATTAGCCCTTCATACCTGTAGTACACTTGAAGATTGACATATTACTCTGAAGTAACTGGAGGAGAAATCGAGCACCATATCCGTATAAATTGAAACCCGCGCCCGCAATTTGACTAGCTAGTCACTCTACCGAAGGCCGACTCGTCCTCATCCATTAACCATACGACCGCGACCGGGCCGGGAGGCCGGGCGGTGCAGAGCTCAAGAGTCAGACAGCCTATTCAACAACCGGTCCGTGTGTTATCTTATCTTACACAATCTCGAAAATTTTATTTCAAAGATAAATGTGATGAATAAGTCACTTAAGTGGAGTAATGTATAGATTAGCCCAACAAGTATTTTGCTTGTAAAATATCAAAATTGTTATTCTCAAGGAGTAGATATTTCATGCCAAAAATCATAAAATGTGATCGAGTTGACAGATTTTACGATGTTAATGTTATGAATTAAATTTGTAGTTTTACAGAGCTTCACTTTCTTATCAGGCCTTCTTTAACTTTTAGATAATAATCTAAAGCTTCAAAACTTTAGACAAACTAGATCTAAGACAGTTCTGAATAGATCTAGATCTAATGAGTTAAAAAAAATCTCTTAGAATCTAGATCTAATCCTAATTGCCTTTTTGAGTGATAACATCATTTTTGTAATTTATATTTTGTATTATTCTTCTTACAGATATCTTCTTGTGCGATAAAGAGGGACGATGATTTCATATTGAAAGCGTGGGGTTGGTACATCTTTGTCGATGGAAATGAATCATCAACCCAGGCCTCCGATAGCCTTCAGGTCTCCTGGTCGCCATGGATACGCTGTGGAGTTCTCTCCGTATCTACCGCAGCGCCTTGCCGTGGCAACAGCCCAACACTATGGCATAGCAGGTAGGATCGATGGAAGCAGGTTTGCCACCATGGGGCCGTTTCTCCAAACCGTCATAAGTCTAACTTCTCAGACATACTATTGAAACGTGTGGTATAGAATTAACACAAGTTTCTATGGGATGTCCACGAACTTAGACTTATGACGGTTTTGAGAAACTGGCCCCATAATCCCAGCGAAGACGAAACCCCAGGAAATACTTAGAGTTAACCTATAGGGTTGGGGTTTGGGCAGGGGGCGTGTATCAGCACTCCCCCTCTTGACATAGAAACTGGCTATTAAACACTATGGAATAGCATGATAGCAGGTGGTATTGAAGCAGGTTTCCAACCATAACCCCAGCTATGATTAAACCAAAGAAAATACTTATGGCTACAATACAACCAGAATTAAAAAAAAACAGAATAATAGTTACAACACGAGTATTTCCTTTTATTCAATCAATATTCATCATCCAGGAACAGGCACCCTCTTCCTGATCGACATCACACCCGCTGGTGCGGTGCTTCTCGCGACCTTTGACTGGAGAGAAGGTCTGTTTGACCTGACCTGGTCCGAGAGCAATGAGAGGCTTATTATGACCGGGAGCGGAGACGGTTCCATCCACCTCTGGGACACCAACTGTCCAACTGACCCAATCAAAACATTCAAGGTCAGTAGTTTAAAGACCCACTGTACTACTTGTATCTACTTGCGCCCTCTACATAGCAAACAATGCCTAATCGGTGACCATTGGTCCCTATGATCCTCTTTTTGTTATGTTAATTGAGAGCTGATTTGATTAAAAAAACACCTTTGAGTGATCTTGCAGGGAGGTCTAATCCCTCCTAGCCAAACTATAGTACAGACGGCCTTTAATATGATAATAATAATATTGGGTTCTTGTATAGTGCTCATATCTGTCAGACTTGACACCCCTGGCGCTGCCGATTATTACCCTGGCTTTTTGCATGGCTGCAATAATGGCGCTCTAGCGTTTCAAGGAATTAAAGGGGAAGTCCACCCTGAAATTAAGTTAGTTTTAATAGGAGTAGAAAAATGAGAGAAACAAGTCAGTGAAAGTTTGAGCAAATTCCGATTAAAAATAAGGAAGTTAGGATTTTCGAAGTTGTGATCAATCAAACACAAATTGGCAACTCTATGACGTATCATGCGAGCTCAACTTCCATTTGCTCAGTACTAAAAAAATCTAAAATTTTCATTTTCCCTCCAGAAAAATTTCAACCATACATGCACCCTAAATATAATAATTGCAAATATGTTTCTATACTCCCCCTGCAAGGAACAAATATATATTCCGTCATCAATAACGAAGAAAACATGATTTTATGGAATATTATGCACAAAGCAAATGAAGGAGAGCTCGTATAATAAGTCACAGAGTTGCCAATTTGTATTTGATTGATCACAACTTCAATAATTCATAACTTTCTTATTTTCATTCAGAATTTGCTCAAACTTTCACTCACCTGATTTTCTTATTATTCTGCCTCTATCGAAACAAACTTATTTGGGGGGTGGACTTTCCCTTTAATTCCTGCCAGGTACACATTTACATCACCTGGGTTGAGTATGGCAAATAAAGATAAATGTCTTGTAAGAAACCTATACTACCATTTGCATCAGGATATTCAGTCATATTTTTGTCCATTCAAATTTTACAGGGTATTTGCACCAAATTTTACGTAACTAATCTCAGATCCTCCATTATTTCTCGTCACTGTAGGAACACAGCCGAGAGGTCTATAGCGTGAACTGGAACCAGACCCGAGAACAGGACTTTGTCCTATCCGCCTCCTGGGACAAGACCATCAAGCTGTGGGACACGAACCGGGACCATTCCCTCCAGACCTTCGTAGGCCACAGACACAACGTCTACTGTGCCGTCTGGTCCCCACTTGTACCTGGCTGCTTCGCATCATCTTCAGGTAGGATTGATCATACCAAAACTTTTAAAGCCTGTCTGTAATAGTTTGGTCAGGAGGGCTTGGACCCCCCAGCGTGGTCACTGACAGGTGGCATTCTCATCGACTCCGCTCTCAATTAACATAAGAAAAAGGGGATCATCGGGGACCAACGGGTACCGCTTAGGCATTGTTTGCTATATAGAGGGCGCAAGCAGCTACAAGTAGTGCAGTCCTGCTTTAAGTCAGCAACCATAAATTTGTATTCATTGTAACAGGACCATTCCCTACAGGCTCTCGTAGGCCACAGACACAACGTCTACAATGCTGTCTGGTCTCCTCTTGTTCCTAGGTGCCTTGCTTCATCTTCAGGTAGGATTGGTCTTATCCAAACTTTTAAAGCCTGTCTGTAATAGTTTGGTCAGGAGGGCTTGGACCCCCCAGCGTGATCACTGACAGGTGGCGTTCTCATCGACTCCGCTCTCAATTAACATAAGAAAAAGGGGATCATCGGGGACCAAAGGGTACCGCTTAGGCATTTTTTTCTATATAGAGGGAGCAAGTAGCTACAAGTAGTACAGTGGGGCTTTAAGTCAGCGATCATAAGTTTGTATTCATTGTAACGGGACCATTCCCTACAGACTCTAGTAGGCCACAGACACAACATATACAATGCTGTCTGGTCTCCTCTTGTTCCTAGGTGCTTTGCTTAGTCTTCAAGTAGGCTTGGTCTTATCAAAACTTACACAACACCAATCATTAAAAAAAAATCCATTGCCTATATGAAACTTGTTGGTTCCTGTAAAAATATATGGCGAATATGAGAAGTCATGCAGTCATCAATAGGTTAAGTTGGGGGGGGGGGGAGGGGAACATACACAAAATTTGAAGTAGACAAATGTGGAAATTTAAAAGCATTTCACAGTGATCAAAAGGTTTGGATTCCAAAAGGATTAGCACTTTTTCAGGGGCATCTGAGGAATCAGATGAGTCTGGCTTAGCAAAGAACCAAGGAATACCTTTTAGAACTCCCCACCTGGTGACGTGATATTTGCTTTCACAACTTTTGCTCTCAGTTTTATGTCATCAGCTATATAGGTTTAGGGTTATTTGGTTAAGACATGGTGTCGTTTAAAGGGATTGGGTATCTTTGCCTCAGATTCTAAACAAAATCCTGGAATTAGCTCATGCTGCAATCATAGTTATAAACCTTTAGGTTAGTCAGGAATCCCATGACTTTTACAAGTAGATCGCCAGTCTGATTATCAAGATATTTATGATTGGAAATCTACCTGTAAATTTCAAAAAGCGTTTTTCAACGTTTTTCATAAAACTACAATCTATTGGGTAAATAAGTAACACCTAGGGCCATGCATCTCAGATTTAACTTTGTTAAATGATGCCTTTAATTTGGAGTTGGTTGAAGTTCGCAATTTCGAATATAGGGAGTTTTCTGCATACCTGTTTCATTATGTTGTAAAGTGATTTTAGAGCACATTAGGCAAACACAGACTGAGGCAGTATATAGACTTTACCCCCCAAATAAATATGAAGCAATTTACAGAACTAACATAACCCATTATGGTATATGCAAGATAAACATTGTGTTTGTTTGTGTTAAATACAATTCAATTAATTTATCCATCCATAACATAACTAGGAAAATTTGACATGGCATTTTTAAAGCAGTATAGTTATATATCACAGCACTAATGTCCTTTGGCAAGACATTAAACTACATTTGTCAAGTGCTCTCCACCAAGGTGATGTAAATTGAATGGAAGGAAGAAATTTCTTGTACGGTTTAATGTCTTTCATGGCGGCTCAGCTACAGCTGGGGTTATGATATGATACCTTGTATCAATCGTAATAAAGTATGTTTGTATAGAAGCTGTGCCTGTGTTGTACAAATGGACATATCATCATTATCATTATTATCTTTATTACGTAAAAGAAAAGTAACGATCAAAATTTATTATTATTATTAAACATACATTCCGGATGACAGAACCAAGAATGAATTCTGCATAGCATGCAGTGATATTGACATAATGGGAATATTTATATAATATTGGATGGCCTTGAGTGGGATACAAGAATATATTGCTCGAGCTATGACAAAATTGGACGAGTCAAAGACGAGTCTGATATTGTCTTAGCGAGAAAACAAGGCCATACAATATTATAATTATCATCTATATTAGTCTGACTAGCGAAATAACAAAATTTGACTTACCTTGGTAAATATATATATATATATATATATATATATATATTTATATTTAAAATATGGCTTTGTTTTTGTGTGATATCGCCATGATATTGATTTCGAAAGTTGAAGTTCCTGGATGACTGAGCAATTTGCAGCGCTTTGTAACTGCAAGGAAAAGGTGCTATATCAAATCAAATATCTTTTGGATTGGATTGGATACAAAAACAATATTGGTCAGTCATCCAGGTACTGTGCTAAAGATATTGAATACACTGATTTATTGTACCACTGTGAAGCCATATATAGATAATAATGCACAATAATCCTTTTATTCCTTATTTGATGATTTCTTGTTTGATTTCTTATTTATTTGATGTGTACTCTGTAGGTGATGGCTCTCTGTGCGTGTGGGATGTTCGGAGGTCTGAGAAGCCAAGGTTCCTCATACCCGTCAGCAAGGCGGATGTGATATCATGTGACTGGTGTAAATACGATCAGGTGATTTAAATGATTCCTCTCTTGTTTCCTTTTTAAAGGGAGGGTTACGGCTGAATTTGTTTCCCTCTCTGTCTCTCTCTCTTTCCCTGTATTCCTTTATTTCTTCCTCTTTCTTATTTAAATTCAAAGTATCTATCAACAATTGTGTTGAGAGTATTAGGGGTTGAATAATTTACAATTTGAAATATTTTAGCTCTATGATTATTAATGAGAGTGAAATGTAAAGTTGGCACAAACAGAATTGTTGTAGTTGATATGATTATTCCTCGGAAGACACAGTTATGATGATGATGATGGTGATGATAAGATGTTGATGATGATGATGAGATGATGGTGACGACTATGATGATGACAACACCTCTACATGATGACCATGTTTATGATGGTGATGATGATGGTGACGACTATGATGATGACGATGTTTATGATGGTGATGATGGCGTGACTGTTATTATTAATATGATGATTATGATTGTTCTGTTGATGATGATGATGATGATAATCATCATTCATCGACAGATTACTTTGTTTGAAGGGATTAAGGGAGGAAAGTTACCTGGCCATATCCAATTCTTAACATTTTATACACCCCTCTTGAGCTGAGCTGATCTGTGTGACTAAAAAGTAAGGGAAATTAAAATGTTATTTTACTTCATTTTTTTAATAGAATATCCTAGTTGCTGGTTCAGTGGATTGTAAGATCAGGGGATGGGACCTTCGCAATCCAACCAAAATACTCTTTCAACTGGGCGGACACACACATGCAGTACGAAGGATAAAGGTGAGTATACCAACCATGTGGGAAAGGGGTTTTCAACATTGTTACATTCATATTATTTCATTTCCAACAGAAAGATAAACATTTGACATTAAGTCAATTCCAATCGTTATGGACTGACAATTCCAGACAATTTACAAACGTTGAAAAACTGATATTATAGACATTTAATAAATATTTCCAAATGAATGACATATGTAAACTTATATGATGTACTTTCACAGCAGTTGGATTTCTTAGTAACCATTCATCATATTGACAACAATTTTGAATTTTAAATGTTAATGAATGACTTTAAAAACTACGTTCTATATGTCACTCTGTCTTAAACATACCTCTACAAAGTGATATGATATGAAATCCGAATTATGTGAAAGTACCTCATATTGATTAAGTATCCTATCATTATATCACTTTGAAGGGTTTTACTACCATGTCTATAAAATTCTCTGGAAATGTCATTCCATAACTCTTTTTCATGAAATTCATGAATTGGTTCATGAATGACAAAGTTAGCTATAATGGAAATTGTATCAAGAGGAATAATGAAAAATATGATTACTAAAAACTAATATCATGAAATTCCTGTCATACATTCATGAAATTCGCTATCTGCTGCAGGGTTTAACTACCAAGAAGATTAATTTGCATGTCGCCCTCTATTTTGAATCAACCATACAGTGTTCGCCTCACAGTAAGACTGTGCTAGCATCCTCGTCATATGACTTCACGGTACGAACGTGGGACTTTGCCAGGCAGTCGACTCCCCTTGAGACCATCGAGCATCATTCTGAGTTTGTTTGTGGACTAGATTTCAATATGCATGTACCAGGACAGGTAAGCATTCAGAGAGGGGTTTGATTCAATGGCTAAATTGATCACGGGTTGTTATTCAAATTGGCAACAATTATGTGTTTCTCTTATTGCTACATTGTTCTAATAAAATATGTGTAATGTTTATGTGTATTGACTTTATCAAATTAAGACAAGATTTATTTAATGGCTATTTAATACAATTGATCACATGTTGTTATTCAAATTGGCAGCAATTATGTGTTTCTTTTATTGCTACATTATTCTAATAAACTGTCTATAAGAACAATGTTTATGTGTATGGACTTTGCCAAAAAGTGAGAAAAAAAATGCCTATTTGATATGTTTAGGAAAAATGCTAACCATCTGTTCATGAATTCAAACTTTTATGATGATCTTTTATGTTAATCCTAAAAAATTCATATTCAAGAAAAGTTATGTTAAATACAAAGTAAATTCAAATTTGTGTTGTTTTCTTTTCTCAACATTTGATTGTCAATCCTAAATATTCATTAATTTAAGGAAAAAATTATGACAATCTGAAGTGAATTAAAATTTGTGTTTTTTTTCTTTACAGTTAGAAAAAAATTATGATAATCTGAAAGTGAATGAAATCTTTCTGCTATTTTCATATTTCTACAGTTGATTGTCAATCCTAATTATTCATTCACTTAAGAAAAAGAAGATGTTTTGAAAGGGAATTAAAAATTGTGTCGTTTCTTTTCTCAACATTCGATTGTCAATCCTAAATATATTTATTCATATTTAAATGAAGTTAAATGCAAAGAAAAATCATGATATTTGATCAAAAATTTATTTTCAATTCTATTTCTTCTCCAGCTGGCTGACTGTGCCTGGGATGAGAGGACAGTGGTGTCTACTCCTAAATCTCTAGCTGCTTTGAACACATGATGAAGGTGTATCCCTGGCGTATCCTTGGCTTAACACCAATTCATCTTTGGTTAGCACCGAAAGCCACATGATTCAGTCATTCTAGTTAATGATTTCTGACAATGTGTTAATTCGAAGACCAAGAATAATGCAAGCGAAATCAGAAAAAATGGCGTCTTCTTGGCTAACACCTCCCACCTCTTGTGGTCCTCAATGATTTATCCCAAGGTGTTTGGTGCTAATGACAAGACATGCTATGTTAGTATACTGGCTTGATGTTGGCTTAACACCACGCATCTCTTGTGCTGTAGTGTTCAATGATTTATTGCACGATGTTTGTAGCGAGGTGTCAGTATTGGCACCAAGACAAGTTGTACCAGTAAGCTGACCTGTTCTTGGCTAACACCATACACCTGGCATGTTCCTCAATGATTTATTGCAAGGTGTTTGGTGCTAGATGTTGATATTAATGCCAAGTTATTAAAGCTTTGACAGCAAACCGGATGGTTGTTGGCATAGTACCTTGCACTTCTTGTTCTATAATGTTCAGTTATTTATTGCAAGGTCTTGGTATTCACATTAAGAGCAACTTTTTGCATATCATTATCTTGGTGTATCCTCTGCTTAACACCAATTGCAATACAATTAGAATATTCAGTGAATTGAATAGTGTGCTAGATAACGGGTGTTTGCATGATGTACTTAATAGCAATAAAACCAATTTTGCTAGCTAATTGGTCAATCATTGACCTGATGCTATTTACACCTTGGACCCGTTTCACAAAGCCTTTTTTTCAATGACAAATGACAAAAATCTGTGACAAATCTGCTGGTAACCAATCAGAAGCAAGGATTTCCCTAGCTTATAACAAAACCTGTCATTTGTCACTGATGACCAGTTTTGTGAAATGGGGCCCTACCCAGGTCCACTTGTGCTAGTAGAATGTGTGACTGATGCTCAGCATGTTAGATATTTTTTATTTATTCCAGGGGGGCGTTTCACAAAACTTGTCATCAGTGAAAACTGACAGTTTTGTTATAAGCTACTGAAATCCTTGCTTCTGATTGGTTATCAACAGATTTGTCACTGATTTTTGTCATTTGTCATTGAAAAAAGGCTTTGTGAAATGCCCCTAGGATGTCTTTGATCATGATGATGATTCTCATGTGTGATGGGGAAAATTATGTAGTACCATTCTTTTGGCTTTTATACATCCTCATACTTGCCTTATGTGAAGAAAAAAAACAGGCAAAAGAGCATGAAAGAGAAGGAGAGGAAAGAGAGTGAGACAGATGGAGAGACAAAGAGAGAGAGAGAGAGAGAGAGAGAGAGGGGGGGGGGGGTGGAGAGGGGAGATGGTAGAGAGGTAGTATGGATAAAGAGTAGCTGATATAGAAAATATGTCAAGAGGGGGAGAGGGGAAGGGAGGAAGGGGCTGGGAGGAGGGAGAGACAGAGAAACGGAGAGAGAGAGACAGAAACAGAGAAACCTAAAATGAAAGAGAATTGATGATAACAAGGAAGAGTACAAATGCATTTTTCCTAAGGCCATTTCATTGGACATGTACTGTATTTGGTGAGACTAGATAACCTAAAATCAATTCTTGTTTGCCAGAGAAAAATGAAAAAGAAAAAAAAAGAATTGTTATTCACTTTACCTCTCTGTGTTTACCTCTCTTCCTTTTCATTGATATTTCAATTTGTGATGAAAGTTGTCTAGTGTGCATTGCTTGCTACTAATATTTTTAACCTAAAAAATTGCCATCATTTTTGTTTCTTCTTGGTGTTTAATTTGTCCACACCAAATGAAGCGTATTCTCTGATGTGATACTGCCATATGCATTAACTTTGAATTATTCAGTGATAAATTGGTAATATTTCATTATTGTTATTAAGTAATTAAAATTAGAAATGTCTTGTTTTATTCAGGAAGTTCCAAAGTTGATAACATCACTTGCATGTTAAAATCTATTTACCGGGTATTAAAGGCAACAAAGACATGTATGCAGATGGCTTGTACTACTTTAAAATTTGTTTAAGTCCCTATAAAATGTAATGCTTTGTCATTGAATCTATACAATGTTTATATTGATATTTACGTGTATATGTACTGTTATTGTGTGTGACTTATTTATGAATTCTTGTATATATTTTGATTTTGAAGCAATGTGCAGCTTTACCTCTTTGTTTCAAGTTCAACATTCAATATCCCACCAGTCATAAATGAAATGATCTTTTCTCAGCATGTAACATATCATTTGCCATCTTTTTCTTTGGATTTCTATTGATGGATCTATATTGTTACCATGTTCATGCTATTCTCATTTAGCATGTCATCTGATGAATACATGAAAGGCATTAACTCATACAGGGTGATCAAAAAAAAAAAAAAAAAAAAAAAACGACAAGCATACTTCCAATAATGCGGGGCAAATGCCACTGGTACCAGGAGATGTGGAATCTTTTCAGGAGAACAAAAATAATACCAAATTTGCCAAAAGTGGTTGAATATTTCTATTCCTACTTTCCTAGACACATTTTTGTGAAGCAATGCAGAGTACATCCACTGGCAGTGCTCCTTGGAGAAAATAATGTATCGTTGTGTAGTTTCAGAAATGGTATATATTGCCTGAGCTTTGGACAAGTTGTACTGGACGTCAGATTGTTTAAAACAACATTCCAAACCCTTTTTTTTCAGGCGTTTTTAATGACTAAACAGACATGAAATTTAAAGAATTAATAAAAAATGCTGCTTCATGATACTGAAAACAATTAAAACTCCTAACTTGCATCACAAAATGCTCCCTAAAACAAAAACCCCTCATCTAAATTTGTTAATCTTACTTCTTAGTACATGTATTATTCATGTGAAAAAGATAACTCACGTTATTGGAAGTATGCTATTCCGTTTTTATTGGGCCACCCTGTATATAACTCATTGAATCCAATCTATGGTTGTAATAAATGGATGATTTAAAAAAAAGTCATTTAGCACATAATAAGCACCTTTCTATCTCTCAACATACATGTAATATCCTGCTTGAAGCACACATTGGTGTACAGTATTGCAGAAAAGGAAATCTGTGAATCACTTTTGTTTTGAATTTTTTTAAACCTAATAATGGACAGGCAATTGCAGTGTGTGACGACAGTGTTTCAAAACTGTACACAAAGAAACACAAACATTTGTAGATCTTAATGGTAGTTGGACACTTATACACATACATATTTGTTTGGGTTATAGTATACATTTTTAAGAAAATAGTAATTGTATTTTCCACCTCCTTTACAGCATAACATGCATGTATGATTTTGTGTATCCCTAAATACGATCTTGCCATATTTTTGCTTTGTATGTGATTTGTAATACTAATATCTAAATCTCATGTAATTCCTCTGCGAGCCATCAAATTATGTGTTAGTATGTGTGATCACAATTTGAAGAAGAAAAACATTTTTTCAACAAATATTTAAAAATGTATGAAACACATTCAGAAGTTTACATATCAAAATATGAGATTACGCACCACCAGGAATAAACTTGTATATGGATTGGAGGGGCCCTTTAAAACTCAAATACAAGTTTTGTTGTATTCATACCGGCAAAATATTAGGATAGATTGTCTATTTTTAAAAATGGATGATATTATGGAAGTTAAATTACTCACACCGAATCATGATTTATGTTTGAATACACAGAATTTTTAATTGAAATACTGACATGACAACTTTTTATTCTTCATTTGGATACGATGGAACATGTACAAGATTTGCATTACATCATTTTAAGCTGTTTTCATTACTACATGTATGATTTGATATTTAATCACAAGGGCAAAAACTGTAATATGTACTGTTATTTCACTTTGATGATGTATTGCCTCAGAGTACTTACTTTACAATGACATTGTGAACATACAAATTACTCTGTATATAATAGACAATTAAATTATTTGATTGCACTGTATATGTAAACGTTCTGAAATTAGTTCTTTTTCCATTGTCGTGTCAAGTTTTGGAAATGCACTTTCCCTCTTTTTCATGCTGTGCCCAAATTTCTTACTATTATAAAGATGATACTTAATTGCTTTTCAAATTGATATTTATTAGCTGCCAATGGAAAGTTCCATGTGTTTGTACTCAAAGCTGTTTAAGTATCAATTTTTGAAAATAACATCAACTTGCTCATATTATCTGATTGCCTTGGGCGCCTGTTAGAGACTTATTGGTGTTTTTGTCTATTAAGATAATCAAACTCATGAAGTAGATGATTTTCTTTCACAAGTCGAACAGCAAGAAGAAAGTGTACAGATAATTTTGGAATAATCAAGTCCCGTTTCTCTCGCTATCTCGCGATCAAGAATGTAATTTGTAACGTTAAGATTGAGGCAAAAATACAAGTCATGTAATTCACAATCGGTATGACACTTTTAACAGGGCAGTTAACACTAGACAATCATATGGTGGCCCTGAAGGGACATCGCGAATAGACTAAATCGTGAAAAATATGCGATAAAATTCACGATATCGTCAATTTTATCGCATATTTTTCACGAAGAAATTCACGAAATTGACGATATCGTGAACTTTATCGTGAACTTTTCACGATGAAATTGACGATATCGTGAATTTTATCGTGAAAAGTTCACGATATAAAGTTCACGATATCGTCAATTTTATCGTGTACTCTATCGTGTACTCTATCGTGTACTCTCCTGACGGGCGCTTCGTAAACAAAACCAGCCCTAGCTGGGGGAGACAGAGAGAAGGAAAAAAGGGAAAGGGAAAGAGAAGATAAAAGGAAAGAAAGAATAATAAGAAGAAAAGAGGGAAACGGGGGGGCGAAGGGCTCTTGCCTCCTCCTCACTCCCCCCCCCCCCCCCCCCCCCAAAAAATAAATAAGGAGAGAGAGAAGGGAAAGGGAAAGGGAAAGAAAATATAAAAGGAAAGAAAGAAGAGGAAGAAGGAAAGAGGGAAACGGGGGAAGGGCGAAAGGCTCTTACCTCCCCCCCCCCCCGCCAAAAAAATAAATAAGAGAGAGAGAGAGAGAGAGAGAGAGAAGGGAAAGGGAAAGAAAGAAGAGGAATAAGAGGGAAACAGGGGAAGGGCGAAGGGCTCTTGCCTCCTCCCCCCCCCCCGCCAAAAATAAATAAGAGAGAGAAGGGAAAGGGAAAGAAAATATAAAAGGAAAGAAAGAAGAGGAATAAGAAGGAAAGAGGGAAACGGGGGAAGGGCGAAGGGCTCTTGCCTCCTCCCTCCCCACCCCCCGCCAAAAAAATAAATAAGAGATAGAGAGAGAAGGGAAATGGAAAGGGAAAGAGAAGATAAAAGGAAAGAAAGAAGAGGAAGAAGAAGAAGAAAAGAGGGAAACGGGGGCGAAGGGCTCTTGCATCCCCCCGCCCAAAAAATAAATAAGAGAGAGAGAGAGAGAAGGGAAAGGGAAAGAGAATAAAAAAGGAAAGGAAGAAGAATAGGAAGAAAAGAGGGGCTCTTGCCTCCTCCCCCCCCCTCCCGCGCCAACAAATAAATAGGAGAGAGAGAGAGAGATAGAGAGAAGGGAAAGGGAAAGGGAAAGAAAATATAAAAGGAAAGAAAGAAGAAGAAGACGGAAAGAGGGAAACGGGGGAAGGGCGAAAGGCTCTTACCTCCCCCTCCCCCCTCCCGCCATAAAGGGAAAGAGAAGGGAGAGGGAAAGAAAATATAAAAGGAAAGAAAGAAGAGGAAAAAGAATAAGAAAAGAGCGAAACAGGGGCGAAGGGCTCTTGCCTCCTTTCTTTTCTTTCTTTTCCTTTCTTTCCTATTCTCCCTCTTTTTCGTTTTTCTCTTTCTTTCTTCTCTTTCCCTTTCCTTCTCTCTCTCTCATTTATTTTTTGGCGGGGGGCGGGGGGACGAGGCAAAAGCCCTTTGCCCCCGTTTCCCTCTTTTCTTCTTCTTCCTCTTCTTTCTTTCCTTTTATCTTCTCTTTCCCTTTCCCTTTCCCTTCTCTCTCTCTCTCTGATTTATTTTTTGGCGGGGGAGGAGGGGGGGGGGGCAAGAGTCCTTCGCCCTTCCCCCGTTTTCCTCTTTTCTTCTTCTTCCTCTTCTTTCTTTTCTTTTATCTTCTCTTTCCCTTTCCCTTTCCCTTCTCTCTCTCTCTCTCTGATTTATTTTTTTGGCGGGGAGGGGGGGGGGGGAGTGAGGAGGAGGCAAGAGCCCTTCGCCCCCCCCCCGTTTCCCTCTTTTCTTCTTATTATTCTTTCTTTCCTTTTATCTTCTATTTCCCTTTCCCTTTTTTCCTTCTCTCTGTCTCCCCCAGCTAGGGCTGGTTTTGTTTACGAAGCGCCCGTCAGGAGAGTACACGATAGAGTACACGATAGAGTACACGATAAAATTGACGATATCGTGAACTTTATATCGTGAACTTTTCACGATAAAATTCACGATATCGTCAATTTCATCGTGAAAAGTTCACGATAAAGTTCACGATATCGTCAATTTCGTGAATTTCTTCGTGAAAAATATGCGATAAAATTGACGATATCGTGAATTTTATCGCATATTTTTCACGATTTAGTCTATTCGCGATGTCCCTTCAGGGCCACCATACAATCATCTCATTTTCATTTACCACTTATCAAAACTTCTGTCTCTAAAAATTCAATTTTCTTTAAAGGACCAATTTTATGGAATGAGTTACCTCCTAACGTTAAATCAAGCCCAACTCTGAATACATTTAAAAGAAGATACAAACAATTACGTTTTTGTGAATAGTATTTTATTAGTTTTTATATATGCAATCAGGTTTTAGATGTTAGGTGTTGTTATGTGTTAGGGGTTAAGTGTTATAAGTTAAAATTGTCGCTAGGGACCAGCCCCACACAAGACTTAAATGTTCTTTCTTGCTGGTTCCTCATTCGTATATATATTTGTATTTTATGTTTGTCTTTCGTTATGTTATTTGTATGTACTTTACTTATCTGTAAATATCAATGTTTTAATCATGTATGTTTTTTATATGACGAATGAAATAAAATGAAATGAAATGAAAATGAAATGAAATGAATCATATACATGTTTCGTTTACGTTTAGCTACAAGTGATATATTTTGGTTCAGTACATGGAAACAATATTATAAACATGTATTCAAGATAATAGGATTTGCATACTATGTCTAAACAAGTCGTCATCGATTGTCGAAAGTCGAAACGACTAATTATGATTCGAAAACCATTTTTCTTGATAGAAATTTAAAAAGACAAAGTCAGCCCAGAATATAAAGAGCGTTTCTCGTCAAGTTCTTCCTTTGTCGTGTCCTTTAACTTCTTCAGGAATTTATCCACCTTTTCTTGCAGCACTTGTCTTTGCCTCTCTTTAATCTCCTTATTCCTCTCCTCTATCTGTTTCCTCCGTTCTTCTGACTCTGCGGCTGCGACGTTGTCGATGTGCGTGATTTTTCGGAGCTCTCTCGTCGTCCTTCCGTGCAACGAGATCGTCTTTTCGTTCACTGCTCGGACTTTTCCGGAAGCCGAGATACTGTTCTGCGAAAGCGCCATGTAGGACATGCTTCGGGCTCGCCTGCGCGATGATGGGGGTGTTCCAACTGCTGATGAAGTATCCTGCAGTGTCTCGGCTTCTTCAACTGCTGTTCCAGTTTTTTCCTTGACGTCCTTTTCACCGATTTCCGATTTTGAAGCCAACTTCGGAGCAGCGGTTTTGGGACGCCTTCGCAACAACCCTCGTTCCATAATCACCTTTGCTTGAAGTCCATTCTCTGCTGCCTGACCGACCTCGTTGGGTGACTGCCTGCGTTGTTCATCTGCGCTAGGCAGTGTCCTGCGCAAGCTTTGGCTTCTCGGCCGTCTGTTTCCCGATGCGATATGTCTGTCCAGGACACCAAGAGCTTTTCCATGACCTTGTCCAATCTCACCTATCTCTGATTCCGTTTTATCCGCTGTTGTGCCGGGTCCCTCGCGGTGTTGACGAGTCGACGGTGTGCTGTGGGTTATATCGGGTAGTCTGTTCTTAATCTCTGTTGATGGTGTCTTTGCGCCATCTGATGATTCATCTGGTTCTTGAGAAGCGAGGGAGATTCCCCTCCATCTGAGTAGCTTTGTGTGAAGTCGAGGAGACATGGGTGGAGACCCGTCTGGGGTTTCTGTTCCAGAAGCACTATCTGCATCCCCCTATGTAAATGAATGTGGAAAATATATTGGTAAATGGTAGAATAGAATGAATATGAAGTTTATAATCGTCTCCCTCAACATCGCTATTGCCATTTTTTTTTAACCCTAAACAATTGCAGAAATGGTATGCTTTCAAAACCATTGAATTAAGCAAATATCAAGATAAAATTTAATGATTCCGTCAATGTCGAGAGAGAAATTTCATCTGTTTAAGTTGCATTACAAAATATTATTATTTTTTTTTTTTTTAATTATTTGAAGTTTATTAACAACAACAAAATGTATGTACATCATAACACATAGTATGCAAGGCAAAACAATAAAATACAAACTGTACATAATGTACGAAACGATAAATTACTGCAAAAGCTTAATTAATGCTTACATAAAACACATTTATACAAAAGATAGCAGACAATAACAAATTATATTTATACGATATGGAGCAGAGTGTAGAATAGACGATTGGAGATAAAGAAGCAAATGGGATAATGATATGCTCAAAATTAAAGAAACGGAAGTAAACTTAAAGTGGAAAGCTTTGCTTATGAGCTAATTATTATCCGTCGCTAATTTAATGGAATATTAAAGGGTGAAGAATAAAGGTTGATTGAAGAGTCAATTAAGTCTTTCTTCGATGTATGGTTTCTTGAGAGAAAAAAGATAACGAAGCTTACCGCTTGTGCAGCAGCCCGAGCATTCTTCAGCCGGGTCGACCTGAGCAAGTTACTGAACGCCACCGTCGAATTCAACATCGCTTTCCTCTGCGACTCCAGAATCCAACAATCTTTCCGAAGCCTCATCGTCTCCTGGTTCCGATCGACCTTCGCCCTCGACTTCGCCGCTCTCAGCCGGTCCATCACCCCTACCAGGTTCTCTTCTTCGCCCTGGTTGGCGAACTTGACGTTGCTGTTGTCGTAATACCCGATCGCTCGTGTGGTCGTCAATTTGTCGACGTCGTCCTCGTTGCCGCCTAAATTGGCTTTGGTTGGATTCTTCGAGTAGGACGTTGAGGGGAGCGAGGAGTATGTCCGCGAACGTGGACGTCCACCAGCTATGTTGTTGCATTGCATTTTAGTTCTACTTTGTCATATACTTGTAGAGTTCATTAATTATCTCGAACTTCCTCAATGTTTTTTCTCTCTGTTACATAATCCATGATCCGGTAGTATATTTACAAAAGTCACGTATTGTTTCACCCTAATCAGTATTTATTGGTACTATCGAGATATTATGTGCATATTATAGAGACTTTGAAGTCGCAGCCATTTATCTTTGCTCTTCCTTTTCTGCGGCCTGTGAGAATATCGTGTGCTGTAGTATATTATGTTGGCTTTTTCCCTCAAGTTGAAGACAACGATGTGCAATTTGATCGATGCAAGTAATCCTTAGGATATTTAGCTGACGTCCGCGAGAGAAATAGAGCAAAATGCTGTGACCGATAGGAATTCCTCCTGAGACTGAGTTTTGATGTTCAAAATACGATGGTGGTCAACGGGGGTTTCCCCCTTCTTTAGGTTACATAACAAATGTTAATAATGATCAACGTTTTACAAGGAATCGAGGATCCACACCCCTCGCATTAGGCATATCACGTAAACTGGACTTTGCATACTCCTAGTCCTACCTTTAACAGGCGAGCTGAACTGGGCATCCAAGTCCTGTAGTTAAAAGTGATAAGAGAATTAAATTAGTCTCAGGAACATCAGCATATATCTGTTCACTTCAAAAGGAAACTGCACGACTGTTGTATCTATTTCTTGCTTGTATGTAATGCATAAGTATATTAGTTATAAACTAGTTCGTATATTACATTTATTAATTGGCAATCATTTCAGTTCGGAAGCAATACTCGGGTCATTTGATAAATAATGACTGTTTACTTGGTTCAATTGTAATCTTTTCGATTAGCGTTAATTAGAAATATTAGAGCCATAATGATATCGGAGTATGATTAATCCGATCAGTAAATAGTCCTACGAGATAACCCGTTTGAACAAGTTGCAGAATCATAGATAGCCTACTTGTACATTCTGTTTATAAATACTAAAAGGAATTTATACGCTGTTCTGTAGCATGGTAACTTTACATTTCATTTCATTTCATTTTTATTTTTTTCATTTCCAACAAAATACAATATAACGAATACAATGTAAAATATATACAAAACATAGTCTTAACAGTAATTTATACATTTGAGGAAGACAATATTGAATTATAAATTTATATCATCGTTGTCACCACAATACTATTCGTAGAGAAACGAAAATGCCTTTGAATTGTAAACATAAATTGTGGAGAATTAGAATGACGTATATATCTGGTGTACTTTCCTGACAAAAATCACATTTTCACTGTAATAAAATGTCATAAAAAGTCATAAAATAGGAAAAGAGGGAAAGTTCATATTCGGGCATAATACATTAAGCCCCCCCCCCCCTTTCTTTTTGTTCACGTGCCCACCGAATATGAACATTAAGGATATAATCAGAATGAACGAAATAATTTCAAACCACTCTCCTTACTTCTAAGGAAACAAACAGTTGTTAAGAATGAAATTGATATAGTATTACGTACCGTTCGTGACTTTAAAAAAAAAATGATTGTACAGTTGCATGGTAGTGTAGAAGATTTGTCGCTTGTTGGTTCCGCCAACTGCCTAGTTGCACAATGCCAGCTCTTCAAGATGAGATTCTTAGCGAAGTTTCAAATTTACTCGTTCGTCTTATTTTTAGTGATCAGCGCTTGTCAATTCGTATTGTCCTCTACATAATGACTCCTCCGGTGCCACAGTGGTCGATAAATACTCGTTGAATTTCGATTATTACCAAGCTACACAGTTTACAGCCATAATTTATGCATGTGTATGAAAATGGCAAACATAATTCCTTTTTCCATCGAGCTGGGGTGAGAAAACGACTTCATGCTCTAATATGCTGTTTCAAGAAACAAGAAGATAATATCCCCAACGAGACAAACGAGAAATAGTTTGCTCAAACGACACGAAGGAATCAAAGAGATAAAGAAACAAACATGAAAACAAGTCTTCTTCGTTTCCGCGTACGTCACGATCTTAGTAAAATACTAACAAGTTTTGACACTCTTCCAACTATTTTGCCACGCCCTCTCGAAATCTGTCCGAGAGTCCAGAACAATGAAACAAGGTTTGCACTCCTATGTTAATTCGGCAGGAGTCGTGTGTGCAGAGGCATAAATTATTCCTGTTTTGTAAATGCTGGCGATTCGTAACAATAACATTGTATTCTTATGTGATACAGTTTAGTAGCTTCTGGTGTTGACTTTTGAGAGGGTTGCGTCCAGAGCTGCAAACACTTTACAAACAAAATGAATAGCTTAACCTCCGACGTGCAAATAAATGTCACTTATTTACATGTTGTATAGGCCAAAAAATGAGACATACGCATAATTGACAGGTGATACATCATGAATCTAGTAAGAAAACAGCCAGAATAATCCAAACTTTAGATTTTGCGAGCGAGCGTAGCCAAAGCGAGCAAGCAAAACAAAAAGAACAAAACACTGATTTCTTATAAATGTTATGTCAAACATAAAATCCACTAGCTTGGATGTAAAATTAAAATATTCGGGTAGGCCTACCTTGCTTCGGAATAATTATAATGATATTCAGGCATCCCGGAAGGGGGGTGGGGGATATATCCCCCCATATATTTCAGGTGAGGGGATGGCCTGTACAATCACCCCCCCCCGCCAATAATTCACCATCAACAACAAAAAATTAAGAGAAAAATTAATGATGAGAGCCCGATGAGAGTAGTTTATGGTTATTACTCGCAAGATGACCATCAATATACATATTTTGCTATCTCATTTTCATAATATATACGTAAATGAGACAACCGTATATGAGACAAGAATAAATTGAATTCTCGCTCATACAGCTTCATCAGGAATTAAAGAATTTATTCAATTTATTCAATCAACAGCATCATAGAAATGCAGTGCGCCAAATGCAAAGACGCAGCGTTAAAAAGCAACGAGCTAAATGGTGAGCGCGAAGCGAAAAAGTGCAAAAAAGAAGTAGAGAGTGGGAGAGAGAGATAATGAGAGACAGAGGATACAGGCGCGTATCCAGGGGGCGGTTGGGGCAGTCGCCCCCCCCCCCAAAAAAAAAAAAACGCCGGCCCAAAAAGCGAGAGAGAGATAGAGAAAGAAGAAAGGAAGAGCACGTTGGAAGAAAAAGGATTAAGAGTAGAGAACGGCACAACGAATCGTCTTCTTTCTCTAATAATTTAATGAAACGTCAAAAGAAACTGAATTTAGACAAGGATTAAGAGTCGAGCACGGTACAAAGAATCGTCTTCTTTCTCTAATAATTTAATGAAACATCAAAGCTTCCGCGCTCCGCGCGGGAGGGGGGGGGACCGAAATCAGACAAGGATTAAGAGTCGAGAATGGTACAACGAATTGTCTTGTTTCTTTAATAATTTAATGAAACGTCAAAAGAAACTGAATTTAGTCAAGGATTAAGAGTCGAGAACGGTACAACGAATCGTCTTTTTTCTCTAATGATTTAATGAAACATCAAAGCTTCCGCGCTTCGCGCGAGACGGGGGAAAACTCCCCGTCCCTGCACCCACCCCCTAGAAAGCGCGCTTCGAGTGTGCACTACCGCCCCCTAAAAATAAAATCCTTGCTACGTGCTTGAGAGGGTAATAACCCAGGTAGCAAGCCCAGACATGGGTCCCATATTCTCTGAAATGTTATCTTTATTAAGGGTGACTTGAAAAAGTTAATAACTTGAAAGGGAGGGGGTGCAACCTGCAACACGCTTCTACCTCTTGGTTGCTTTGATCCATTGCCGAAAATATTTTGGCACCTACCACCCCCCCCCCCCCCCCCCCCCAACCACGGATACAAATCGACACCGCTGTCAGGCACCCAAATATGCAGAGCTGTCAACCCTACCGCCTTTGGAGGGAGTCTCACGCCACCACGCTTAATCTCCCGCCGTCCCACCAGCTCGAAGCGGGAGAATCCCGCCACGCAATCTCCCGGTTTATGAAAAAAAAAAACTCCCGCCAAACGTGTATGAACCAGCGTACTCGTATCGTATATGGATTTTTTTTTGCTCAAGGGGGGGGGGGGGTAGTGAGCACTTCCCTGTTGAGCCAAAACAATATTGCACTGACGATCTTCCTCGAAGCAGTTTCCCAAAGTTGACAGCCCTGGATATGAGGATATTAGAGTATATCCGAATAATGATCCTGCTCTAAAAATCCCCAGAGTAGCCCCAAACCCCTTCCTCGTCTTGTTCGTTTATTCCAGTAGCAACAGAGCAAGGGGGTTGCGAATTTTGAACATGAAAGCGGCTTTTTATCCAGTCCTCTTCATGCAACTGCATGGAGCGCTATATTAATTAACGAACTCTTTGGAGGAATACAATCAAAGAATTCAGCAAGATAACAGAAGAGTGAGAATTCTTTCAAATTCTAAACCTTTCCAATTGTCTTTTTTTATATACTGCAGTATATTGAGGCACAATAAGGGGCAAAGCAAAGCCAAAAATTACACATATTCCTACCTTTTAAAAATGCTACTTATTTTATAGGCTATGATTGATATTGGATCGTGAAATTACCGAGCCTTAGACAAATTTCGCATCTTAAAGGGAAAGTCCACCCCCAAAATAAGTTTGTTTCAATAGAGGCAGAATAATAAGAAAATCAGGTGAGTGAAAGTTTGAGCAAATTCTGAATGAAAATAAGAAAGTTATGAATTATTGAAGTTGTGATCAATCAAATACAAATTGGCAACTCTGTGACTTATTATACGAGCTCTCCTTCATTTGCTTTGTGCATAATATTCCATAAAATCATGTTTTCTTCGTTATTGATGACGGAATATATATTTGTTCCTTGCAGGGGGAGTATAGAAACATATTTGCAATTATTAAATTTAGGGTGCATGTATGGTTGAAATTTTTCTTGAGGGAAAATGAAAATTTTAGATTTTTTTAGTACTGAGCAAATGGAAGTTGAGCTCGCATGATATGTCATAGAGTTGCCAATTTGTGTTTGATTGATCACAACTTCAAAAATCCTAACTTCCTTATTTTTAATCGGAATTTGCTCAAACTTTCACTGACTTGTTTCTCTCATTTTTCTACTCCTATTAAAACTAACTTAATTTCAGGGTGGACTTCCCCTTTAAACCCTCGAAACTCTATTTCTATAAGGATCGTGACATTTCTTTCCTTTCTCCAGCTTCTCTATCTCTTTTTTGTTTGTTTTGTTGCGCCCCTAGCTTCAGGTGTCGCCTGGGGCACGTGCCCCTGTCCAGGTGCGGATCCAGGATTTCTTAGGGGGGGGGGGGGCAAATTTGAAATTATGCGATCAAAATATTGGTACGTAATGGTG